CTCCTTGATGCCAATGCTCAGATTATATACATTTATCTCTTTTGTCATGTCTACCATGAAATTTTCTATAATTCTGAGTCACATGTGACATACCTTGAGGATAGTTTTCAAGACTGCATTTCAATCTCCCAAATGAAATGTTTTCTTAAAATGAACAACTAGAGGGAATTTATATTCCCTAATCAACCATGTGACCATAAAGCTATTATCTGCTATAAAAAATGATTTATGAATGTTTTCTCTTATGTTTTTGTTGATAATACCCTCAAAATTTTAATACACTAAGTAAATATGTAGGCCAGTAGTTGCCAGCATCTCCTATTTTTTCTGTTGATGGCATAAAAACAATATTTGTTTTATTTTCCACTAAAAAATTTCTCCTCCTTAAGATATCTTTAAAATTAATAACTGGTTCTTTCAAATATAAATGCTCTCTGGCACAGATTTTTCCCATATGTATTTGCTCAGAGTCAGTTGTTCTGTCTGCATTCATCTTAAAGGAAATGGAAAAATTATTAAAAAAAAAAATTACCATTTTGATGTTCTGTAGATTTCCCCCAACCTGCTGGAGCTCTTGACTTTGTCCATAGGGATCATTCAAACAGCTAGAACTCATAAAACCCCCTCCTCTATTTCCTGGCAGGAAAGGAACAGTTGGGAAAGGACAGTCCTTGTTCCAATGGCTAGGGTTGTTGAGATAGGGGAGGTGGGCAAAGATGCTTAAATTCTTAATTGACACTCTGAATGCATTTTTAAAATGTAGAAATGTTGTTATTCATGACTGTTAATAATCAACAATCATTTATTAAGTAACTACTATGTGACCAAGCACGTATTAGGTGCTGGGAATAAAAATATAAAACAGTCTCTGTCCTCAAGAAGCTTAAATTTTATATGGGGAGATAATATGCATATATAAAGCATATACAAGACATATAAAATATGTACAAGGCACTTTTTTGGTATGTGTGAGGGAGAGGTTCTATCCTCCTATTGTTGTTTAGTTATGTCCAACTCTCTGTGACCCCATTTGGGTTTTTTTTGGCAAAGTCACTGAAGTGGTTTGCCTTCCTTCTCCAGGTCATTTTACAGATGAAGAACTGAGACAAATGAGGTGAAGTGACTTGCCTAGGGTCACACACCTAGTAATTTTGTGAGGTCAGATTTGAACTCAGAAAGAGGAGTGTCCCTGACTCCAATCCCAGCACTGTCTACTTTACCACCTAGCTGCCCACCAATCCTCCTATTAGTATAGTAGTATTCTTGAGCTCAATGGATTTAAAGACTGGCCAGGAAACGTGACCACTGTATTGTTTTATGGGAAAATTAACTCAGGCATCTAAACAACCAATTTAGAGATGAACATTTGGAACACAACCTGTTTTTAAGGTATGGCCTTTGTGAATGTAAGACTCGATTCTTCGATTAAGTAAGCTCTAGAAGCAGCAGACAGCAAGATGGATAGAATGCTGAGCCTGGAGTCAGGAAAATCTGAGCTCAAATTCAATTTTAATTATGAGCTGAATGACCTTAGCAAGACAATTAACCTCAGTTTGCTTCAATTGTAAAATGGGGCTAATAATAGCACCTACTTTGTAGGGGTGTTGTGAGGATCAAATGTGATTAATATTTGTAAAAGCACTTAAGACAGTGCCTGGCACCTAGTAGGTGCTATATAAACGTTTATTCCCTTCCTATCTTAAGGATAGTGACAATACTATGTATTTCTTTTAAAAAAAATTTAAATTTTATTGATATATTTTTTTATTCATCAAAATTTCTCTTATCCCTCTCCCTTTTCCTCTTGCAGGGACTCATCATATATATATATATATATCAATATCAATCACGTTTCTTTGTATTTATCATAATAATTTCTTATTTCACAGTAATCATATAGCATAATTTGTTTAACCATTTTCCAGTCAATGGGCATGTACTTTGTCATTTATTTCTTTTGTATTTCTTAGAATCTCTACCACAGTGCTATGTGGTTAACAGAATATCAGGGGCCAGAGAGGGTTCTAGAAGGCCCCATTGGCCTCAAGGCCCCAGCTTCCCCACCCCTCGTCTAGGCAATCTATGACTAATCATCAATAGTTGAATTGATGTTTTAAGTTCTTTCTCCAGAAGTAACATTACTTACTTCACAGAGTTGGTATGAAAAATGTACTTTGAAATCAGAAAGCACTATATAAATGTGAGCTATAATATCATCTCTACTTCATCCATCCATACTCTTTTGATCTTCTCCTGCCTTCGATTTTTAATAACAGCAAGGGACATAGACAAAATGGCACTCAGCTAGTATTCAGCAAAGGCAGTTCTAACAGTAATTTGCTCAATGGTCCTTGGCATATCATTTAACCTTTTTGGTCCAGTTTAAATCAGAAATTTTTATTCAGGTAACTGAATGGGTACAGGTAGGTAACTCCAGGTACACAGGTCAGTAAATGTGAGCCGAGGTTTGGAGGTAATGCAGCCCTATTAAAAGCACCATTTGACTGGAACCTAGCAGCTAGAGTCATAGACCTTTTAGAGCTGTAAAGATCCATATATTCATATCTCAGTCCGGTCAATATTTCCTTAGCGCTATCAAATCATCAAATAATAATGAGGGGCAAATATTCTCATTCAAGTTAATACATTTTCACTATGCATCTATTACCTATGTAAGCCCAGATTTAGCATGTCACTATTACTCTGAGCTTCATTTTCCCTTTCTAAAAAATGAGGGTCTTGAACTACAACATCCCCAAGAATTCTCTCTGACCCTGACATTTTGTTAATCACATAGCACTGTGGTAGATATTCTAAGAGATACAAAAGAAATAAATGCAAAGTACATGCCCACTGATTGGGAAATGGTTAAACAAATTGTGGTCCATGAATGTAATGGAATATATTACTGTGAAATAAATTATTAATATGATGAATACAGAGAAACATGGAGTTACACAATCTGATGCAGAGTGAAGGAAGTCTATGCCAAAGATCCTTTCCCTGACTATGAAACTCTCCCTCATACTCATCTACGTCACCATATCTTTTCCATCTCCAAATCCCATCCTACCATGCCTTTTGGAATCCCCATTCTATTGTTAATTTACTCTTCACATTAGACATATGCCCTTCTTTTGGAAGTTACTTTGTATATTTTTTACATTTAATTTTTCAGTTACATGTTATTTATTTTCAATGGAATGTAAGCTCCTGGAGCTGTTTCTTTTTTTGTCTTTGTATTTCCAGCACCTAGCACATTATCTGGCGTATTTGTTCGGCTGTTTTTCAGTTTTGTCTGACTCTTCATGATCCCATGTGGGGTTTTCGTGGCAAAGATACTGGAATGGTTTGCCATTTCCTCCTCCAGCTCATTTTACAGATGAGGAAACTGAGGCAAATAGTGTTAAGTGATTTGCTCAGGGTTACACAGCTAGTAAGTGTCCCAGGCTGGATTTGAACTCAGGAGTCTTTCTGACTCCAGGACTGGCACTCTATCCCCTGCCACCTAGCTTTAGTAGGTACTTAATAAATACCTGTTGAGTTGAAATGGATGATGGTATTATCTTTGTATACCCTGGTAGGAGTCCTTAAAAACAAAACAAAACAAAACAACTAGCCATCAAGAGTTAAATAATTGGGCAGCTAGGTGGCACAGTAGATAGAGCACCAGCCCTGGAGTCAGGAGGACCTGACTTCAAATCCGGCCTCAGACCGAACACCTGACACTTACTAGCTGTGTGACCCTGGGCAAGTCACTTAACCCTAACTGTCTCACCAAAAACAAGCTGACTAGTTGTTTTAAGTTCTTTTTTTAAAATCAGTTTTTAAAAATTCTAAACTTACCAAATAAAATGAACATTTTTATATATATTGGGGAACAGGAGAGAGTTGTACACGAAACAGTGAATACTGAGAGCTATTTTCCAACAGATAAATGGTCAAAGGATTTGAAAAGATGTCAAAAGAAGAAAGGCATCGGTAAGTTCTTTCTTCAGAAGTAGCATTACCTAATTCACAGCTGGAATGAAAAATGTACTTTGTAAACTGTAAAGTACCATATTAACGTGAGCGATTGATTCATATCCTCCATTTTAGCTCTTCTCTGACACTTTATCAAGGTATGGAGGTTGTTACTTCTGAGTTTTCCAAGGCTCTTTTTTTTTAGACAAGTAAAAATTCTAGGAAAATAAACTTCCAAATATAAAATCTAAAAGTGCTTTCTGTGTGGGTCTTTCCTATGGAAAACAAGAGAGACTCCTCTCACCAGAAGAGAATTCCTTCGGGCCTTAGGAACTCTTTCGGACAATTTGCAAAGAGGCAGGAGGTGCTGTGACTGGCGGGGAGGCCGCCCACAGCGGGGAGAGTCTGGGTTCCCCGGAGTCTGTACACATTTTTCGTCCCCCCCCTTCTTTCCCCCCAATACCTACAGAGTCCTAGGCGGGAGAAAGGCGGCCTTCATCCCGGGGGCTCGTATCCCGGGGGCTCATCATCCCGGGGCTCATCCCGCCTGATTTGCTCCGGGCCCCGGGCAGGCTGCCTTTCCGGCAGGGGTGGGGGGCGCGGAGAGAAAAGTGAAATGTCCCGGAAGCCCAGCCGGAACCCCGGCCGCTTCCGCTCGCCTCTCTTCCCCCAGTTTCCGTAGGCCGGTCCCCGGCTTAGTTTATGGTCCTGGGAAAACGAACGTCACTTCCTGGTCATCCGGTCACCGCGGGGAGGCTGGACTTGCGCGCTCGGCCTCCTAGCTCCCCGACCCCGGGGCGCCCGAGATCTAGCAGCACACGTCCGGGTCCAAACACCTGCTGGCGGCCAGTACTGTGCGGGCCGTGCGGATGACATCACCGCGCCCGCGTCGCCGCGCGCCATGACGCCAGGCGCCGGCCGGGGCGGTCTGCAGGCAGGGCCCGGAGCTGGAGGGACGGTAACCCGCCCGCCGCGGCCCGGAGCGGGGACATGAGGAAGAGGCGGCGGAGGGAGGCAGACGGAGGCGGGGCCGCCCAGCGGCGGTAGCAGCGCCCCCGGGGGGGAGGGGCAGGTGTAGCTCCAGGGCAGGAGCGTCACCTCCTAGCCCCCCATTTCCAGTCAGTGGCCGCGTTCGGGGCTAGTGGCGGCGGCGCCTCCCTTAGTCCGCCACCATGTTCCGGAGGGCGCGACTCAGCGTAAAGCCCAACGTGAGACCCGGGGCTGGCGGCAGGGGCCCGGCTGCTCCCGAGCCCCCGCGCGGCCAGCAGGCTCCGAGAGAGCCCGAGCCGGTCGCGCCGCCGCCAGCGCCCGAAGCAGCCGAGACCCCGCCGGCGCCCCCGCTGGGTCCCGGGGGAGCCGAGCCCCGGGAGGTGGAGGCGGCCGAGTGTGGGTAAGAGCCGGCCGAGCCGCTTCTCTGATTCTTGCCGCCCCTCCCCGAACCCCCTCCCGCCGCTGCTCCAGACGCGGGGCGGGGGAAGGCCGGCACGAGTCCGGGAGCATTTAGTGAGCGCCGCGTGCAGGGGGTGAGCGGGGCAGAGCGCCGGGGTTACACCTGCCCTGGGGGCTCCCGGTGCAGTGTGGGGGGGATGGAGAGAGAGAGAGGCAGAGAGAGGAAACAGCTCTGTCTGCAAGAGAGTGACCCAAAAGGGGCAGTGCAGCTTTGAGCTATTATACCTCAAGACTTTTGGGACGCAATCTAGGATAAAATGGTGGTAATCATCCAAGGGAAGGATTGCGAATGACTTCTTTCGGAATGTGGGATTTTAACTGGGTGTTGAAGGGAGCCAGGAGGCAGTGAGGAGAGAATTTCAGGCGAGGAGTTGGGATGTGTAGTATCTTGTGGGAGGAACATCAGCTCCCCAGCATGTGGTGATTCACTCATCTCCTTATCCAGCCCTAACCTACTCCATACACGTCTTCAGCTGCCTGTTGGACATCTCCAGTGGAGGGCTCTTAGAATATCAGCATGCCCAGAACTGAACTCATCTTTCTCCCCAAAGCCTCCTCTCTTCCTAATTTATCTATTACTGTTGAGGGTACCGCTTGTCACCTAGACTCACAACTTAAGTGTCAACACAGCTCAGTGCCCCCTTATCTTCCCATCCCATCTGTTGCTAAATACTGTGGCTTTTACCTTCATAATACCTACTGTATATACCTGCTCTGCCACTGCTGCTGCCTTAGAGTAGGCCCCATCATCTCACACCTGGACAGTTGCAGTAGCACTGGATTATTGCAGTAGTAGCCTTCTGATTAGTCTCCTTGCCTTAGTCTTTCCCCACTCCAGTCTATCCACTTAGCTGTCAGATTAATGTTCACAAAGCAGGAGTCTGACCATGTCACCCTCCTCTTCCTCTGATTCCAGTGCCTTCTTATTAATTCCAGAATTCAATATAAAATTCTCAGTTTTGCTTTTAAAGCCTTTGGTAACCTGGTCCCATCCTACTTTTGCACTTTTCTGAAACTTTACTGTCCTCCATGTACTCTTACATCCAATGACACTGGCCTCGTTGCTGTTCATAGTGAAAGGCACTCCATCTCCATGTCTGGAATTCACTCTCTCCTCATTTCTACCTCCTGATTTCCCTGTCTTCCTTCAGGTCTCAACTAAAATTTCACCTGTGCCTTTTCTAATCCCACTTAATGCTAGTACCTTTCCTCTGCTGGCTGTCTCCAATTTATCAAGTATATAGCTTGTTTATACGCAGTTGTTTTCATGTCGTCTCACTCATTAGACTGTGAGCCCTTTGAGAGCAGGGCATGTTTTTTGTTTTTTTTTTTTGCCTTTGTATTCCCAGCACTTAGAGTGCCTGGTGAATAGTAGGCACATAAGAAGTACTTGTTGACTTAGGAACAACAAGGAGGCCAATGTCAGAAGAGTATGTGAAGGGAGAGTAAAGTGTCAGAAGACTGGAAAGGTAGAATGGTAGCTTTTGAGATGCTTTGACAACTAAACTGAAGCTTTTTAATTTTATCCCAATAGGGAGCCACTGGAATTCATTGGGTAGATCAGTGATGTGGACAGACTTGTGTTTGAAGATCAGTTTAACTGAGTACAGAATATATGGAAGTGGGGAGAAACTTGTGGCAGGAAGACCAACCAGTGTACTATTGCAGTAATCTAAGTGTTAGATGAAAAGGCCCTGCACTAGGGTAATGGTGGTGGTGATATATGGCAGGGACCATATAGAAGAGATATTACAAAGATGGAAATAACAGGACTTGACCTCTGATTGGATATTGGGGAGGGGAGAGGGTGAGGTGTCAAGGTTGACACCTACGTTGTAGGCCTGAGTGACTTAGAAGATGATATCATCAACAATAATAGTGAGGTAGGAAGAGGGGAATGTTTAGGGGAAAGATAATGTTCAGTTTTGGACATGCTGAGTTTAAGATACCATGGAATATCCATTTCAAGATGTCTAATAGGCAGTTGGATATTGAAGATTGTAGGACCAGTGAGAGGTTAGGGTTGGACAAATAGATCTGACAGTTACCTACATAGAGATGATAATTGAAACCAAGTGAAATAGTACAGAGGGAGAATAAGGCCCAGGACAGAGCCTTGGGTGACCCAAGCCAAGGAGATTGAGGAATAATAGATAGGTTGTGAAAACCTAGAGAAAAGTCAGATTCTCAAGGAAAAGAGGATGGTCAACAGTGTTAAAGGCTGTAGAAGGATGAGAATTGAGAAAAAAGCCATTAGAATTGAGTGTTAAGAGATCATTAGTAACTTGTGAGAGAGCAGTTTCATTTCAGTGATGAAGTTGGAAGCCACACTGCAAAGAGTTAAGAGAATGAGAGGAATGAAAATGGAGGCATCTTTTGTAAATGGCCTGCTCAATGAGTTTAGCCACAAAAGGTAGGAGAGATGAAAGGATGATAACTAGCACTGATGGATGATCAGATAAAAGTTCTTTTGAGGATGGAGTAGACGTGGTCATGTTTGTTGGCAGTAGATGAGCAGCCCATAGAGAACAAGTGAAGATTAGAGAGAAAGTAGGCCTAATAGAGGGGTGTTCTGCTTGAGGAGATGGTTATTTGTACATGTAGCAGGGTTTGCCTTGTTGAGGAGAAAGGCCATCTTTTCCTGTGAAACAGGGATATAGGATGGATGAGATAGTGGAAGAAGGCATCTCAGTGATATAAGATGAGGAATAGAGAGAAAAGGGAGTTCTTAGTGAGTGGCCTCAATTTTTTAGTGAAATATGAGGCAAAGTTCTCAGTTGAGGGGGTAGGTAGAGTAAGGGGAGCTTTAAGAGATTTGAAGATAAATTTAGAAATTTGGAACATCTGCTGTGGTGAGTGGGCTGATAAAAGATAATCTGACAAAAGAATTTTGGAATTCATTAACATGGAAGTGCAACACTTAGGGGTGATTAAGGTTAAGGGTATGACTGTTGTCTGTAGTTGAGGTGGAATGGAGGAGTAGGTCAGGTGAGTTGAATAGATTGAGGAACTGGTAAGTTAGGGTATTTTAGAGAGCCTTAGTATGTTGAAGTATTCTCATATGAGGGGAAATGAGGAAGAAAGACTGAGGTAGTGAGCTCACTGAGGAAGGGAAGACAATGTCCTGAAGGACAGGTAATAACCACAGAGATTCTGATGGGGAGGTAATTCTGTATGTCTTGAACCTCAAAGGAAGAGATGATGTTTGGTAAAGGAGAGCTGGAGGAAGTACTTTAAGGTTGACAGGTGCTTTCCACGTGTTATCTCTTTTGAGCTTCACAATACCCCTATGAAGTGGGTGCTGTTAATGTCATTTTATAGGTGGGAAAACTGAAGCAGGTAGAGGTTAAGAGATTTGCTCAGTTAGTAGATGTCTTGAGGCAGTATTTGGAATCAGGTCCAAGAGACTCCCAAGACTGAGTGACTCAAAGTCCAAGGGACCAGTGAGGGGTGGAGACAGAAAATTAAAGCAAAAAAATAACATTTATGCAATTCTAAGGTGCCTTAATTATCATTTATAGAAGAAACTCAAAATAACTTTATTAATTTCCAACTAATTAACATTAATTAATTAATATCCTGACTTGAACACTTGTGCTGTCTTAAAAAAGAGCAGCTCCCTGGTACATCTTAGATTGATGCAGAATTTACAGTTTTTTTAAATCTATTTTTTTTATTTTTTTTTTTTGCTTTTAGGCAATTGGGGTTAGGTGACTTGCCCAGGGTCACACAGCTAGTAAGTGTCAAGTGTTTGCTCTGAGGTCCGATTTGAACTCAGGTCCTCCTGACTTCTGGGCTGGTACTCTATCCACTGCGCCACCTAGCTGCCCCTCAGAATTTCCACTCTTGCTTGTTGTCCCATGGCTGCCTAGAAAAACATGATGAAATTCATTGAGAGTATAGCTCCTGAAGCACACAACAGATTATTCCTATACTTTCAAAAAGAATAGATCTTTTTTAACCAAACTTTAATGGAACCATTGCAGACATCCTTTGTCTTACTCAAATCTATGCCACACTTGCAAGGAAAAACTCCAGGTTCTAGAGAATGAATTCCAAGAACAGGCAAGATTCTTTGATGAACAGGATCAATTTCAGTTATTCCTGAGTCTCTGCCAAGGCTGGTAGAGCTTCAGCCTGCTCTATTCCCATCAACTATTGAAGCCACATCCACTGAGCCTTCATAATTAAGGTGACTTTGGAGCAAACTTAACACTAATCATACCCTCCATGCATTTAGTAGCACTTAGTAGCTCTCACAAGGCATTAGCTGTGGCTGGCTTAAAGGAGCTTCTACAAGAACCATGGCACCATAGGGCAGCCTCATTCTGAGTGCTGGACTTGTCCTTCAGTCTCTCTTAACTGGATTCTCACTGTGGCAAGGCAGTCTCTGCATACCCTTCTCATTGTTTCACCATCTCACTCATCACAGTAGCTTTTCTAAATCTTTTCTTTCCTCCTCAAACTTCCCTTGGCTTTCCCCCCATTACTTTCCTAGCTGAGCACCTTGTCTCATATTTTATTGGAAAATTGTGACTATTCACAGAGAGCTCCCTCTTCTTCTGTTCCTCATCTCACGTCACTTGGATGCCTTCAGCTACTATTTCCTCCTTCACTCCTATCTGACATGAAAAGGTGGCTCTTCTCTTTGCCAAGGCAGATAGACCCCTTTACATGCTGTACAGTGATCCCATTCTATCCTGTCTTCTCCAGCTAATTGCCCCCCTTCCTACTGCATCATCTCCACCCTGTCACTGGCTTCACTGACTTTCTCAAGCCTCAGCAAAAGGCCCACCTTTTTCATAAAACCTTTGCTGGCCCACCCTTTACAGCTAGCAAGTTACATCTGAGGTTCTCTCCAATTTCTCTTGTATATATCTTGTTTGTATATAATTGCTTGCATGTTGTCTCCCCCTTTAGTCTGTGAGAAGAGGGATTGTTTTTTGCCAGTGCTTGGCAGAAAAGCCTGGTACATAGTAGGTGTTTAATGAATGCCTATTGACTTGACAGCTGCTTCATTTGACATTATTGATTATCTCCTTCAGGATATCCTGTCTTCTCTGGGTTTTCATGACAGCTGTCTCCTGGTTTTCTACCTGTCTGTCCAGCTGCTTTGATCAGTTTCCTTTGTGGTTCTTCATCCATGTCAAAACTGTTAACTGTGGGCTTCTCCCACAGCTTTGTCCTGGGTCTTTTTGTATGCTCTATTATTTGGCTTGATGATTCATAAGCTTTCATTGGTTTCATTGTGATTTCTATACAGATGATTCCCAGGTGTCTGTTTCTAGCCCTAATCTCTCTTCTGAACTAATGGCATCTGAATGAGTAAGATTATACCACATTTATCTTAGTACTTGTTTGTAGTTTTAACTGAAATAAGTTTTAAAATTAGAAAATAAATGTTTGTGGTAAATATTTTAAGATAGCTCATGATACATTTTTTGATATTTCAACAGGGATGAAACGCCCGCTGGGAATGATGCTGGACAATCCAGTAAATCTTCACCGGCTGTTTTACAGAGAAGAAAGCGAATATCAACTGTGCCTAGTCCCACTAAACCTAGTGTCCCTGCTCCGTCAGTTCCCCAGGCCTTGTGCACTGTTCAACAGGAAGCACCTCAACTAAGTCACCTTCCAGCAAAAGAGAAACAGCCGTGCTCAGATCGTCACAGGATACTCAAAGCTCAAAAGCTGAGAGAAATGCTAAGAGACGAAATGACAAAAAGAAGGGTAAGGACCTCCATTAAGAATGGGATAGGGAGAAAGAGTGGAATTTTGATTCTATAATTCTTCTGGAATTCTGTTCAAGTGTCAGTAAACTATATCTTAGGAATTGTTACCTGGCAAAAAAAATCCATGGAGTCTTGGACCCATGCAAATATATCTCTCTTGATTCTTTTGTGGGAGACTGTAATGAAAGACAGCATGGTTTGTTATATAGATTCTGTTTCTTTTTGTAAAAGGCTTTTTTTCTTTTAAAAATGCTTTACTAGTTTTTTTTTTTTTTTTTAACTTCATTGTCACTTCTTGGTACTAATTTGTATAGAACCTTCCCTTGTAACAAATAGTACAACTAAGCAAATCAAACTTACTTGTTGATAATTTCTAAATGGATATACCTCATTTGATAATATACCACCCCTCCTCCATGAGGATTTATTAAACTAATTTGAATTCTTATAGCTTTTAAGCGTTGTTTTCCATTATACTATCATGGTAGTTGTGTCTATTGTTCTTTTGGTTCTGCTCGCTTCATTATGTATCATTTCAGACAACTTCCCAGGTTTCTTAGAATCCCTCATTTTTATCATTTCTTATGGCAAAATAATATTAAATTTATATGGTACAATTCAGTCACTTTCTAATAAACGTGAACCTACTTTGTTTCCAGGTTTTATTTTTTTGCTACCATAAAAAGTACTGCTATACATATTTTGGTACATGTAGGCTCTTTCCATCTGTCTTTATCCTACTTGGGGTATATGCCAGAAACTCTTGTTGCTGGATCAAAAGGGTATGAACTACTTAGTCACTTTTCTCTCATAGTTTCAAATTGTTTTCCATAATGATTGAAACAATTTGCAACTTTTATTAAGTTTAATTTGAAAGATTTTTGTATACTTTCATATGTAATACTTTGTTTTTAAAATATTAGGCCAAAGCAGTCATTTTCAAATAAAGATTTCCAAGTGATATGAGGATTTATTTAATTTAAGGAATATGTAGTGTTCTGTATGAGAAGCTGCTGTACTCTTGAGGGAATGAAAGATGATAAAACTCATTTTTCAGTGAGAGTAAAATTGATAAAATTGTGGGAATAGCAAATGTGTAGATGTTTAGGCTTTTAGGATGTGAGTGTATGGCAGATATTCTAATTTTAAAAGTAGTTGAATTCATACTTTTAATAGAAATTTTAAATGTTTTCTGTGGTATAGTGAGGATCTACTTAGAACTTCATCTGGGTGATAGTTTGTCTGGTTTATCGGATTTAATCTATGTTAATGAGAATATTATACCCCAGGCCCTTAGAGGATTCTGATTCTTAGGACTTGCACTAATGGTCACTGTAACACCTAGGAAGCTGAACCCTGTTAAATAAGCATTCAGTTTTGTTTGAAAAGTACTTAATGGGTACTGGTAAGCACATAGATTATGAAGGTTATTCTTATCTCTATATATACACATCTATCAAAAATAACTCTCTTATATTGACAATGGAATCTCTTACTTTTATTTTCGAATGGAAGATGGTAGCAAATAGATTACTTTTCCTAAGTACAGTTAGACTTACTCAGTCTTCACAACTCTTAGTGAAGAGAGGGGGAGAGAGAAAGAGAAAAAAAAAAAGACTGCTGGTTGCTACTTTATCCGTAGGAAGGATGGCAGTTGAGGATACCTCTTATCCTGCTGTCTACCAGGAAGAGAGCTAAAGCAATTTGTCCTTTGTGTACCAGAAAGAAGGAGGAGAGAATCAAGAGGCCCTTCCTGGAAAAAGCCTTTAAACAAAGTTCAACACTCATCTAGGCTAAAAACTGAGAAGTATGCATGGAGTGATTTTTTTTTTTCAATATTGGAAAATTATCTGTCAAAAACCAAAAATTAGCATTATATACAAAGTGCAAATGCTAGATACTTTCTCAATAAAGACTGGAGTAAAGATGCACCTTTTCCCCAGTATTATTTGACATGGTTTTAGAAATATTAGCAATAGGAATGAGATAAGAGAAAGAATAAAGGAATAAAATAAAGAGAAGACAGAACTATTACTCTTTGCTGATATTATAGTGGCTCGCTAAGAAAATCCTAGGGAATCAGAAAAGAAAGCAGTTGAGAAAATTAACAGTTCATTAAATTTGCAGGCAACAAAGTAAACCCACATCAACTGGCAGCATTTTTACATACTAATATAAAATCTAGGAGGCAATGTTAGGAAGGAATGTTCCATTCAGAGTAAATGTAAAATGTATCAGATATCTGGGAATCAGTCTGCTAAAGCACATTCAATACTTATGTAGATGTTATTATAAAACATGACTTAAAGAAATAAAGACCAGCTTAATAATTGGAGAAAAATTCTGTGTTCTTGAGTGGGTTGAGCTAACATAATAAAAATGACAATGCTACTAAAATTAATTTACAATTAGTTAATAAAGTTCTCTCTCATTCAGACAACTAAAGAGATACTTTACAGAGTAAGATATTATAACATTCATTTGTAGGAACAAAAGATTTGACATAGCTACAGAATTAATGAAAAGAGGTGGAAATGAATAAGAAAAGCACTTTCATATCTCAGACTATTATAAAGCAAAAATCACAAAAACAATTTGGTACTGGTTAAAAAAATAAAAAAGTATACTAATAGAATAGACAAGGAAGAATCAGAAATAATTGAACTCAGAAAACCAGTGTTTGATAAACTCTAAAACATAAATTGCCTAGGAAAGAGCTCACTTGAGAAGAACTACTAGAAAAACTGTAAAGTAGTTTGTTAGAAATTATATTTAGAACAACATTTTACACTATATCCCATAGCAAATTAAAAATGTGTTAATAACCTGAATATTAATGGTCATGCCATAAAAATTTAGAAGACATGATAAGCATCATAAACCTGCCACTGCTACTGCTAAAGGAGTGAATTCAGTATCAAACCAGGAATAGAGGCATTTAATTGGAAAGATTTTGCCTGAACAAAATTAATACAACTAAGATAAGGGAAGTGGTTGTCTAGGGAAAATCTATGAAATAACTCTGGTAAGGGTCTAATATCCAAAATTATATATAGACTACATACATATATAAAAGACCAAAAGCCATTCATTACTAGATAGTCAAAGGATTTAAGCAAACTGTTCTCAAAAGAATTGCAAACCAGTAACAACATTATGAAACAATGTTCCAAATTACTAATAATGAAAGAAATGCAAACCAAAGAAACTTAGTAGTTTCATTTCACACCCAGTAAATTGGTCAAGATGACAAAAGATGGGCTTAGTCCATGTTGGAGGGGTTGTAGAAAGATAGATACACTAGAAATGCTGAATATGGAGTGGTAGAGTTGTAGACTGTAGACTAGCTATTCTGGAAAGCAATTTAGACTTATGCAAAGTGACTAAAATGTCAATTTCCTTTGACCCAGAGATTGTACTTCAGTTCTACCCAAAGGAGATAAGAACAAATGGAAAGTCCTCATGTATGCCAAAAAATTTATAGCAACACTATTTATCATAGCAAAGGACTAGGCAATAGCTAAATAAATTGTGGTACATGAATGTAATAGAATATTACTATACTGTAAGAAATGATGACCATGATGTATTCAGAGGAACATGGAAAGACTAATATGAACTGATGCAAAGTCAAGCAAGCAGAACCAGGAAAACTATACGTACAGTGACTACATCAATGTAAATGGAAAGAACAGCAAAATGATCAAAACTTAATACTGTGAAATTATAATGAACAAGCTTGACCTCAAAGAAGAGACAAGAGAAGATGCCCCTCAATCCCCTGCTTCTCTGAAAGGGTTAGAGGTCGTATGGTTGTGGAGTGCTACATATCAGTCTTTTTTAATATGTTGGTTAGTTTTATGAAATTTTTTTTCCTTTTTTATTCATTATAAGGATGACTCTGGGAGGAGGGGTATGAGTGGGGTATATACTGTGGGAAATATAGGTGATGTGAAAGCAAGAAGTCACACTTTATCAGGTAGAACAAAAGGGATTGAAAAAGCCAAGAACTTTTGTTCATATACCCACTAGGAAAAGAGTGAAAAGGTAGAGCAGAAGGAAAACACCTCTACTCCCCTGTGTATTAGGTAGAGAAAGGGAACTACAGGACCTAGATTGTTGTTTCTCAGTTGAATAGGAAGAGAAAAAGAATCCAGAAAAAAGTTCCTCAAAAGACCTGGATCTTAAAAGTTCTGCCTAGTATTTGCGGTCAGTCTAGGTCACCAGTTCTTCCTCTTGAAGGTAGGAGGCAACACTGTACTTTTCTTTTTTTGAAGCCACTTCTTAATGTCAGAGATTCCCCCTTTTTAAGGAACAAATAATTTCTGGATCAAAGGACACCTGATTACGTGATTTTTATTCTAAGACCTTTTGTTCTGGTTTGGAGCCCAGTGAGAGGACGGGTAGATTTTTTTTGACTCCTGTGTTTTCCCCCTCCCCCACCCTCCATTCCATACAGCTAGAAAAGAAACCTGGTGTCAATTTATAGCTTGATTTTACTGAGAATGGGTGACCTGGCAAGCTCCTAAAATTTGAAGAATTCCTATCAGTGTTAAATGAGAAGTCGTTTGCTTTGTCACCCAAGTTAAATAACCTTAAAAATCTTAGGGACGGGATGCATTTTGAACAGATAGCGCAAAAATCACGATGTATTTTGCTTTGCTATAAGCGTATATGTACAAAATAAGAACAAATTTAATTCAATCAAGTTCAGATTTAAGTAGAAAATTTATCTTTGGAACCATGAAGATGTACCTGTGGGAATATTGTTATAAAGAGAGATTTCTTTTTCCTGTCAATAATATTCTTATATAGTCCTGAGTAGTGATATTTATCATGTTCAAGGATATAAACAGGTTGCTCACTCTTACTATAGGGGTAGAGATAGGTACCAGACCTGTAATTTCATTGATAACAAGGAACTCCTGAATGAGGAGCCCCTCTACAGTACATGTTGGCATCTTCAGGTTAGAGGCATGGAGAGTTGTTTAGAGCACTGAAAGGTTAATTTGCTTGTCCAGAATCAAACAGCCTGCAGATGTCAAAGGTAGATTTCTTGGCTGTAAGATCAACTTTCCATCCACTGCACAATGGCTGCCTTTTGAATTGTCATCGTGCTTTCAGAAAAGATTGCATCAGTTCAAAGTTTGATCAACCTTTTAATAGTGTGTCTGTTTCTATGTAGTCCTGATAGCATTGAATTTTATTGCTTTTAATTATCTTTGCCAATTTAAATGTCATATATTTCAAGATTTAATTTAATTTGAGAGGCAGCATGACATATTAAAAAGAGCATTCAAATTTAAGTTATCAAGGACCTGGGTTCAAATCTCAGCCCTACTGTTTCCTGCCTTGTTACCCTAGGCAAGCCACTCTCACCTCTCTCCTTCCTCACCTGAAAAATGAGGGGGTTGAACTAGGTGATCTCTAAGGTTGCTTTTAAATCTCAATTTATGAGCTATGAATTTCTCTGATTATTAGAGAACTTAAATAATTTCACAGTTAGATTTATGAGAAATGTATATAAAATAAAAAATTTCCCAGTTCTTTATTCTGGGTCCTTTGCTTATTCCTATGCACAGATTCTTTATTTTTTATTTAATTAAATCAGTCTGTTTTGGCTCCTTTAATTTTTAATATTTGAATATTTAAAAAACCTCTATAGTTATGCAATTATATAACATCTACCATCTTCTAAATTTTTTAATGGATTCTTAATATTTAGATTATTGATTCATTTTGAATTTATTATATATTATGTATAATGAATTGCAGCTCTTACCCCTGTTTCATTTTTTATTCAGTTTCTTTTCTGTAAAATGAGGACATTAATACTTGTAGTACTTCTCTCATAAGGCTGCTGTGAAGAAAGTACTTTGTAAATTGCAGTTTTGTTGAGTCATTTCAGTTGTGTCAACTCTTCATGACCCTCCTTGGGATTTTCTTGGCAAAAATACTGAAGTGGTTTGCTATTTCCTTCTCCAGCTCATTTTGCAAATGAGGAAACTGAGGCAAAAAGAATTAAGTGACTTGCTCAGGGTCACACACAGTAAGTGTCTGAGGCCAGATTTGAGCTCAAGAAGATGAGTCTTCCTGACTTCAGACTTGGTACTCTTATCTGTTGTGCCACCTAACTGCTCGATGCTACATGAAAATGAGCTGCTCTGACTCTAACTTGATTAACCCATAACTTCTTAGGTTTCATTTTTTTATATTCAGTATTGAAAATGCTTTCCTTAATATAAAATATAGGATGGGATATTACTAAGGAAATTGCAGTTGAAAAAGCAGTAGATAATGGGCTACTACATTTCTTATTTCAGCATGCCTTAGATTTGTATGTATAAAATAATATTAAATAATTATGTGTATGTGTAGAAGCAATGGAAAAGCAAATATGCTGGAAATGAAAGCCAAATGCCACCAGACCGTTCTAAAATGACTATGAGAGACTTGATATATTACCTGCCGGACAGCAATCCTATGAAGTAAGTCTAATTATGTGTTTTTATATTTTCATTGATTTGGTTTAATGATCTAAACATTATTTCTAAGAATTTATTTAAGGCTTCCCCAACTTAAGGACTCAAATTCCTTGGCATGTCTTTATAGCATGTTTAAGTTTTTTCATCTAGATTGTTATGAAGGAAAAAAAAAATTTGGTAATTAACTTTTGGGGGAGGCCTAACTGTAAAGGAAAGAATTATAGCACATCTTAATCTCTTTGAGATTAAAAGTGTCTGTTTGGTTTTATTAACTATCATGAGATACACTGTAAAACCAAGTTTGACACCATTCTTGAGTAACCAAAAGCCTAGTTTCTTCTTAACTAAAGGAAGGGATTATAGGGCAAATCCCTTAACTATTCCATGACTCACTTTAGTTATCTACAAAATGGTCGTATTAATACATGGACCTTGTGCATCACATAGTTGTGAGGAAAGCACTTCATAAATCATGAACCAGTACATAATGTGCACTGTAACTTTATTTTTAAGCTTGAATCTGAAATAATGGATACATCATTAAAACTGGCCCTGGAATAATTAAATGCAGTGATACTTCAAAGAACAGATCCTCTGGGAACAAAGTTCTTTTTAACAAAGTTGACCTGAGTGATATGATCTCAGTCTGAAACTTCTTGAACCAGGGTGTAGCTGAGAAGGAGACCATATTTTGGGGCATCAGAGAACCATGGCTTTGGTGGTCAGGAAGGATCACTCTAAGACAAAAGCATATGCAACCAGTACAAGACTGGCTTGCAGTGCATTAACAAGAATTTGGAGTACTTACTGAAAAGGCAAGGGAATCCCAACTTGCCTTGCAAACAGGGAAGGAAATACTAGGAGGGCGAGTTACTGCAACTCTCCTGGATCACACCTCTGTGCTTCCTACAGATTACTTTCTGTCTAATAACAAAGTATCTGAAAAAGCATGTCGTTGTGACTCATTCTCTTCATTGACAGAGGTATCACTGTATCTTTTTCATTGACAGATTTGAAAAGTAATTTAAAGTTGCTGTATTAAATGTCAGGTTTTTAAAGAAGAAATTAGAAGTAATAATTGTGTATTCAAATTTGTGTTGTGTTATATATTGTTTAATAGATCTTCTTTGGAACAAGAAGCAAAAACTGAAAAATCTACACCACCAGTGCAAACCAAAGAGTAAGCTTCTATTTCTAATTTTGAAAGCTTCTGTTGTGTATACTTTTCAGAAGAATTATTTTAGTACTATTAAAGTCAAGTATAGTTGGCTGGATTCATTGATAGAATCATTAACAAATATAATAATTCACTTAAATTGATACGGGAAAATCATTTGTATGTTTTTGTATTTAAAATTTAACTTACACTAAAGCTCTTATTTTAGGGTATTTTGGAAATTAAAAGATGGAGTATTGAGTGGTTAATGGCAATTTTTTTGGTGCAGGTTCATAGAGTGTTTTTCAAGATTTATCTTGTATTGGCTTTTTAGCCCTTATCTCTCCATTGACTTTTGGTAGCTAATTCCCAAACATTCATTCCAAAAGATAGAGCAGCAAGTCGTAGCATAAGACTTATTGGGTTCTGTTCATTCTTATACTTCCCTGTTTCAAGGGTCTATGATTTCAGCAGTTTGAATACTCCTTCCACTGACATAAATCACAACCTTTCCATAATTTGAAATAGAGCTTTTAAAAATTGTTGTGGCCAAAAGCATTCATCATCTGGGTGTGAGTCTGAACTTAGGGTAGTTTGGTCCTCAGATGATGGAAATAGTTTGTCACTGGGCTCGTACTTTTCTAGCATGTTAGTGTCTGCTATAGCTTATGGTCCACTGTCATAGACTTTAAAATTCTGTCATTGCTATAACATGATGAGGTTTTTAGGACTAATGGAGATCTTTTCATGTAAGCTGGGATAATTGTGGACTGAACCAGTGGAAGATCTTGTTTCTTTTTTTAATTTTATTTTAAAATTTGAAATTGCATGTCAGCAATCCCCATCATTTCCCTATACAACAGAACACAAAAAAGGATTGTATATGAAACTGTGCATCTCCATTTCATACTGTTTTTTTTTTTTAGTGTTTTCCACACATTACTTTCAAAACTGCCTCATTTGTGCTTTCTTCTGAACAGTCCTCTGTTCCCTTCAGTGCACTGTTAAAAATGTTTCAGTGGCCTCTTTTTTATTGGCATCCTCATTACTAATCACTCCTTTCTCCCTCCTTCCATCTAAAAATATGAGAGAAAGGAAAAAAACACTCTTAACAAATAAGCATGGTCAGGCAAAATAAACATACACAGTAACCATGTCCAAAAATGTATGTCTCTGCAGCTTTAGAATATATCTCTGTCAGGAGATGTGCTTCATCATGAATCATACTGGAATCATGTTGGTCATTGCATCGATCAGCGTTGAAAGCCTTTCAAAGTTGTTTGTCTTAAAGTTATTATTGTGTAAATTGTTTTCTGGTTTTGCTCACTTCACTCTGTATCAGTTTATACAAATCTCTGATTTCTTTGAATTGGCTATTTACCATTTCTTATGGCATAGTAGCAATTCCATTAATTTATATAACATAACTTTTTCAGCCGTTTCTCATTTGATGGACATCCCCTTGGTTTCCAGCTCTTTTCCACTACAGAAAGAACTGCAGAAAATATTTTTGTACATATAGGTCTTCTTGTTCTTTATTTGATTTCTTTGGGGTACTGTCTAGTAGTAGTGGTATTTCTGATTCCAAAGGTTAGCACAGTTTAGTGACTTTTAGGGCTGTGTTACAAATTGGTTTCTGGAACGGCTAGACCACTTCACAGTTCTGCCAATGGTGCATTATGTGTCTATTTTCCTGAAGCTCGTTCAACAAACTGTAATTTCCTGATATTCTGACGTCCTTAACATTCACGTACCACCCCTCATCCCTATTTAGAAAATCATCTTGTGTTAATTTCATAGTTACTAGGGTAATTCACAGTAGTACTTCTGTTAAGAGGGCACATAAAGAACAAATTGTCTTTTTGCACTGGAAAAACACTTGTTTAACTAAATTTAACCATAGTACAATGTGAGGGTATTTTATAAATCGTGTCCTTAGAAATATATTTCGTTTTTAATCTTTCTAGCAATGTCATCTAGAAGAAGACATTAGTAACAATTTTTTTTAAGTTCATACTGATAAGAAAATGCTATTTCCACAATTGAGTTAAACTATTTTTACTTTGGGGATATTTTAGTCAAGAAGTGAAAAATATTCCTGATGCCGAAGATGATGTTGAAGAAATGGAGGAAGAGAGCAACAATGGCCCTTTACTTGTTCCTCGTGTTAAAGTGGCAGAAGATGGCTCTATTATTCTGGATGAAGAAAGGTAAAGAAAGAGAAAAATTGGTGTACTTGGAACAGAGGAGAAATTCTACTCTGTTAGTCAAATCATTATGGGGCATTATCATTTAACCTTATTGTGTTCCAGCTTTTTCATCTGCATAATGTATAGTTTATACAAATGCTATTGGTATCAGTGAGGATATACTTATCTACCATTTTGATAATTTAACTGTGTTGTCTTTTATACATGGAGATGACATTAATTGGCCATCAGTTTTTTTTTCCTTAGTGTCATGGTGTTATATTTATGCTGAGCTGCTCACATTCTGTTTGGTCTTGTCATTAGGAAGGGAGATTTGCATGATTAGTTACTTCAGTGTTGGGGTGTGGTTTATGGCTGGGGAACAGAATATTTCTGTGTTTACTCGCCTGAAGGGGAGCTGAATTCATACACTTGACCTCATTGCCACTGTGTATCCAGTCAGTTGAGATGACTGACATTTTAAGAGATTCACTTTTAATAAACCTTACAAGTGAATGAGCATACACATTTTATGATTTTGGAGGGAAATTTTTTCAACAACTTTAATTTTTTTCTTGTTTGCACTCTTAAGTTTAACAATAACTTACTGTAATTTTGTCTTGAAATTTACCTTTTTTTTGGTTTATGGTGACATTTTGTTTGCCTTGCTATAGTAAAAAAAGAAAAACAGCAAATGAAATAAAAATGCAATGTAAGATCATAATACTTTGATAATTATTCACAGTGATAAATATTTGGCAATGCTGTTTTCTAAGAATTAGTATTTGAAGGGGTGCCAATAAATTTTAAAATAAACTTGAAAGTACAAATTAATTGACTACAAGGGTCTTGTACTACACTGTTGCTTTTTTAACTTCCATTGCTATGTGAACAGTGTTCCTACATTGTAGGATCTCAGTATATGTGTGTTTGTGTATGTGTGTGTAAAGAATGCTATGTTAAATGATAATGGATTCTTACAGTAGAATTTTTTCTTTTGACTGAACTGAAGTATTTAACAAATTATTCTTGTAGTTAATAATATAAACTATTGCGTTTCTTTTAACCATGTAAATGTAATCACCAAGTATTAAGTGCCTACTATGTACCAGATACTGTGGTAGACCCTAGATATACAAATACAAATTCAATGTATGAAGCAATCTTTACTCTTATAGACTACTAACAAATGAGACAACTTTGTCGTGTTAGGGTATGCATAATAACTATCAGGAGAATAAATATAAAAAATAAAAATTGCAGTCAGATTTAAGGAAACACAAATACTTTTATGCATGAATCTGTCATGGTAACTAAAAAAATGTAACCTCATTTTTAGGTATTGTAGTCTTCATGTCTTTCAAAATGCTTGTTTCTTTCAGTTTAACTGTAGAAGTTTTAAGGACAAAAGGCCCTTGTGTTGTTGAAGAAAATGATCCCATTTTTGAAAGAGGTTCCACTACTACGTACTCCAGCTTTAGGAAAAATTATTACTCTAAACCATGGTCAAATAAAGGTAATCATTGTTCCATTTCAGTTGACAGAGGCTTATATGAAAACATTTTTAATGTGATATCTATGATTATAAGAGTAATTAATAATGAGAATAAGGATAGGACTGCAGTGAACAGCTAACTCTTCCGTGGAATTTTTTGATGATCATTTGGTAAAATTACTGTTGTGTTTTCCTTGTAGTTTTATTTTTGATGGGCTTGTTTAAATTCTTCATATAAGTTCAACTCCCTGATCAAAATTTATACTTGTGGGTTAGAAATATCCTGTTTTCCATTTCACCATTGTTTATTATTGTAGAATGGAATAGCTTAAAATAAGCTAACATGTTTCAGGCACTAATGTACTCATTTTCCATTGATATACTGTTAGAATCCTAGAAATTACATTGTATGAATCTCTCAGACTAAAATTAATGATGTTTTTAAAGGAAAATAGTCATGGTGGAAGAATGTTACTCCGAAGTAAGTTATCTCAGGATAGATATAAAATTAGGGATTTTTTTTTCTTTATGGTTTTTTTTATTTTGTTTTGTTTTGTTGGTGAGGCAGTTGGGGTTAAGTGACTTGCCTAAGGTCACACAGCTAGTAAGTGTCGAGTGTCTGAGGTCAGATTTGAGCTCAGGTCCTTAAAATTTGGGTTTGTTTTTTTTTAAAGCAAAATAAAATTCTATTATATTTTTGGAGGTATTTCCTGGACTTTTTAAAATTAGCTGGGTTTCTACTAACAAAATATAGTTAATTCTTTAATTACTATTAACTACTTAATTCTTTTTTTGCCTCTTGCTCATACTGACTTACTTTATTTTATTTATTCATTTAAATTCAACTTTGTTTTATTTGCAAGCCAACATTCTCTCCTGCTTTCCCCATAGACCTCCATTTAGAAAGCAAGGAAAAGTTTATTATTTATTTTATCTTATTACTTTTTAACTTTATTACTTCTTAAATAAAATCTTTGAACTTAGTCTGTTGTTCCCTCACGAGAACACATCTTTGATTTTATCATGAAAGTTTTGTGAAAAAGTAAGAATTTCAGCCAGTTTTGCTAGAATATATATGCATACATACATATATGCACATATGATTATATGTGTGTATACCCATATGGGGAGAGAGAGAGAGAGAGAGCATGCAAAACCTTCTAGAACAGAGATGCTTAACCTGGAGTCCATATACTTACTTTGTTTTTTAAAAAAAATTTGATAACCATATTTCAGTATAACTTGGTTGCCTTTTGCGCTCTTTTGTATTATATTTTATGCATTTAAAAACATTCTGAGAAGAGTTCTAAAAGCTTGATCAGACTGTCAAAAGGAGTCTATGATACATAAAGATTAAGAACCCTTGCTCTCAAATAAACAATTTTATTGAAAAGTTCACTGGAACAAAAATTTCCATAGCCTGTTTTGTTTTATAATAGATTATCCTGTGTAATCTTTGATCTCTGCTCTCACTCATGTGGATATGTCCTCACCAGTGTAGATTACAGCCCAGTTGTGCCTTTCCTATGTAATTTACAGCCACACCCTCTGATAAATCTACTGGAGTGGATCAGTTCAACATAGTGAAAAAAGGACTTCCTCCCAACTTTTTGTAAAAAAACATTTTATGGTTATAGCAAGTAGTATGACCACATTAAATCCTCTCAGCAGATATTTATTGTTTGCTTGCTCTGTGCTAGACACCATGTCAGGCTTTAAGAGGACAAATTAAAAACAAAACTGTTGATCCAGGGGTGGAGGGGAACAAGGAATAAGCATTTATATAATGCATACTGTGCCACGCACTATGCTAAGCACTTTTTACAAATATTATGTTGTGAGATAATAGAGTTATAGATTTTGGGGTGGCAGAGACTTTACAGGACATTAAATCCAACCCTTTAACTTTACAGATGAGAAAACTGAAGCCAATAATTAAGTGACTCGCTTAGGATTATAAGGCTAGTAGGTGTCTTGAGGCAGGATTTGAACCCAGATCCTCCAACCCAAACTCGATTCTCTGTCCACTATAGCAAGCACAGATAAGTAGATTAAAAAATTATATATAAAGTATATTCAAAAGTGAAAAAATTTTTTGGAAGGGAGAGGCCTTATATCTGGGTGATCAGAGAAGGTCTTATATAAGAGAAGGCATTTAACCTGACCTTTGAAGGAAGAGACTTTAAAGAGACATGGATGAAGAAGAAGAACTCACCAGGCATAGTGCACACTTTGTATTTGAAGGTCACAGAGCTCTGTTCTTTTCAAGTTCTCAACAGTTCTCTCTGAAGTCCCCTATTTGTTGAATGTCCATCTCCTCCCTGGAAAGATTATGCTCAGTTTCTCTGGGTAGTCGATCTTAAGTTGTAATCAGACCTCCTTTGCCTTATGGAATATCGTACTCCACACCCTCAGATCTTTTAATGTAGAAGCTGCAAGTCTTGCATAACCTTGATTGTGGTTCCATGATATTTAAGTTGTTTCTTTCTTGCTGCTTGCAGGATTTTCTCTTTGATCTGGTAATTTTGGAATTTGGCTACAATATTTCTTGGCGTTTTCAATTTGGGATCTTTTTCAATGGCTAATTTACCCTCTGGTTCTAGGACCAAAGGGCAGTTTTCTTTGATGATTTCCTGAAGGATATTGTCCAGGCTCTTTTTTTCATCATGGTTTTCAGGTAGATCAGTAATTTTTAAATTGTCTCTCCTGGATCTGTTTTTCAGGTCAGTTGTTTTACCAGTGAGGTATTTTATGTTTTCTTGTATTTTTTCATTCTTTTGTTTCTGTTTGACTGATTCTTGTTCTCTCATAGAGTTATTAGCTTCCACTTGCCCCATTCTAATTTTTGAGGAGTTGTTTTCCTCTATTAGATTTTGTACTTCCTTTTCCATTTGGTCCATTTTACTTTTTAAAGAGTTCTCTTCAGTGAGTTTTTGTGCCTTCTTTTCCATTTGGCCAATTCTACTTTTTAAAAAAAGGACTTGTTTTCTACAGTTAATTTTTGTCCTTCCTTTTTCAAGCTATTGACTCTCTCTCGCATACCTGTTATTTCTTTTCCCAATTTTTCTTCTGCCTCTCTTATTTGACTTTTAAAATCCTTCTTGAGCTTTCCAAGAAGGCCTTTTGGGCTTGAGACCAATTTGTATTTCCTTTTGAGGTTTTGCATGTGGATATATTGGCAGTGTTGTCCTTTTCTGAAATTGTGCCTTGATCTTCCCTTTCCCCAAAATAAGAATCTGTGGTCATTTTCCATTTCTGCTTTTTGTTTGTGGTATTTGCCTATTTCCTGACTTAAAAAAAAATGTTGAGTTCTCCTGTTGGAGAGCAGGAGGCACTTACCCAGCTTCTTTTCCTGCTCACCATGGCCTTGCACTTGAATGTTTGGCTCCTGCTGGCCCAGGCCTTGCCCAGGGATGTTTGGTGGATATCTGTCAGCCTTGAGCTTTGTGTTCTAGAGTTGTGCTTCCCAGAGTTGTGTTGAAGCAGTGGGTGATTTCGCTGCTGGAGAACTTTGTCGCCCATGGTAGTTTTCTGAGGTGGTATTTACTGGGTTCCCCTGCCTGTGCTGAAGCATTGGGGTGTCCTGGTGTTGGTGTTTGCCTGTTCCATCACCCTGGGACTCAGGATCTCCTGCAGGTATGCTGAGGTGGGGCTTGCCACTGGCTTGCTGGGACGCCTCCAGTCCTGTACTGCTCCCCCTCCCCAGAGCAAGAGAGGCCTTTCCCGTTAATTTCCCAAGCTTCCTGGGGTACAACACTGCTGTACCCTGTCTTTTTGCTGTCTCAGGGTTTTTCCTGGGTCGATATTTTCTGGGCTTTCAGAGGTCAGTGAGGGAGGGTGAGAGTGACTTACTTCTTACTCCACTGTCTTGGCTCCCAGAAGTGGAAGTGCCATAGTACACACCTTGAGCAAAGATATTGATGAGGGAGATAGAATGTTGTGTGTGGAGAAGAATTGTTTATACGTAATTGTTTACGTATTATAGATACCAAATCCTTGTCAGAGAAATTCTCTACAAAGATCTTTCCCTTCCCTTATCATAGGTCTATTAATTTTAACCATGTAGAAGCTTTTTAGTTTCATATAAATAAAGATTTCTTATCTTTTGTAATTTCCTCTATCTCTTGTCTAAGAATTTATCTCTCATCAGAGATATATGATTCACTTTTCTTCTAATTTTTCTTATCTTTTACATTAAAGTCATGTATTGGGACAACTAGGTGGCACAATGGATAGAGTGCCAGGCCTGGAGTCAGGAAGACTCATCTTCCTGAATTCAAATCCAGCCTCAGACTCTTATTAGCTGTGTGATGCTGAACAAGTCATTTAACCGTTTGCCTCAGTTTCCTCATCTGTAAAATGAGCTGGAGAAGGAAATGGCAAACCACTCAGTGTCTTTGCCAAGAAAATCCTAAATGGGGTCATGAAGAGTTGGACTGACTGTAAGGACTGATCAACAGCAACCAAATACATTTAAAATGTATTGTGAAATGTAGTGTAAGGTGTTGGTTCTAGAAGTGTTTCTGCCAGACTTCTATTTTCTCATCTATTTATCATGTGTAGAGTTCTTTGCTAAATAATTTGTTTTTCAGTAGGTTACATAAGTGCTATTGTTTCTGATTCTCCCTTGACTACTCTATTTAGTCTTTTATTTGTTTTGGTAGGTTGGTCCTTAAATATTTCATACATTTTGTCACTTGGATTTTATTATTATCATGTAGAAATGCTGTTTATTTTAGAGCCTACAACTTTGCTGAAGCTATTTATTGTCTCAATTAGTATTTTTGCTGATTCCCTAGGATTTTCTAAGTAAATCATTAGATGATCAGCAAATAGGATAGTTTTATTTCCTGTTTGCCTATCTTTACTCCTTTAATTTCTTTCTCTATTCTTTCTCCTCATATTGCTCTTGTTAGCATTTTCAGAACTATCAAATAATAGGAGAGTGGGTATCCTTATTTTACTCCTGTATTTATTGGAAAAGGTTCTAATGTATCCCCATTGCATGTTATGCTTGTTTTTGGTTTTTAGATACTTTTTACGATATCGTTCTTGATATACATTTTACTTGATTTGTTTTGTCTGAGTAATTACTGGTTAATATGCTGCAGCCTACTCATATTTACCATGTATCTCCATGGCCCTTCAGGTCACTATAATATTGATTTTTTTTTTCTATATAGTTGTATTCTTGAATTTACATCCACCACTGGGAGAATATTGGTGTTAAAAAGATGGATTTTTGTGGTAGGAACATTTTAGGATTGTTGAAAGTGTGGTGCAGTTTCATCATTGTAATCCAGATGTGATTTAATTCTGGTCCTAGATCATTATTCATCTGCAGTGACTCGGGGGGTGTGTGTGTGTGTGTGTGTTAGTTATACATATACCAGTGAATTAATAACTTATTGTACTACCCAGGCAACTCTGTGTTATAATTCAGGCAGTGTACTTCACTTTGTGTCAGTTCATAGAAATCTTTACATTTATAATCATTATTTCTTACAGTGTAGTACTATTCCATTTTATTTACATACCACAGTTTGGTAGTCATTTCCCCCTTGCCCCATAATAGGCATTTGCTTCATTTCCCATTCTTTGCTGTGACAAAAAGTACTACTGTAAATATTTTGGTTGAAGTTGGGGTTTTTCAACCCTTTGGGCAATATGCCTATTTTTGGATATCTGGGTCAAAGCATGTCTTCTTTAAGCATAATTCCAAATTGCTGCCCAGAATTGTTGGCCCACTTAATAGGATTTGGAGATTTCTTGTTGTGATTTTTGATATTGTGGTTTTTTTCCCTATAATTGGCTCTTCATATCTTTTGACCACATTTTAATTGGAAAAATGACTTTTACTCTGATAAATTTGTGTTCATGTCTTGTAAATTTTGTGTGTTAGATGTTTATCACACTTATGCAGAGGTTTCCCCTTCTCCCCCCAATTTTGTTTCCAAGAAACTTCTGGATGAACTTCTTTTTGTTGTACAAACAGCTTTTTATTTGTGTGTGTGTGTGTGTGTGTGTGTGTGTTTGTATGTGTGTGTGTATGATCATTTCAGCAAATTTATTTCTTAGAACTTTTCAAGTCACAGTTTATTAATAATTTATCCATTTCCTCGTAAAGCGTATCGATATCCCTTGTCCTTTAATTTTTAAGAAATATTTCTATCATTGATCTATTTGTAATTGTGAGGTTTTTGCTATATCTAGATCACAAAACTCTGGCTAAATTATTATTCAGCCAAGTTTTTGGGGGGAACAAATGTTAGATTACTGTATGCACCTGGTTCTAGCTTAGTAAACAGTCAGCAAGTATTTATTAAGTGTCTGTTATATGCCAGGCACTGTGCTAAGTACTGGTGATACAAAGGAAGGTTAAAGACAGTCCATGTGTTGTCTATTGGAGGAACTTACAGTCTTACTATTTTCAACATGTTTCACTGATCTCTTTTTAAAAATCCCATAAAACCTAGTTTTGATAATTATGTCCTTATAGTATAATTTGAAATTTGGGAATGATTCTCCCTCCCATTTGGGTAAGATTTGCCCAGATCATGTTTTTATTCCTTTCTCTCCATTAATACTACAGCTTACTCTAGTTCAGGCTCTCTACCTGTTTAGTATCACTGCTGCCTATCTCTTCCCTCTCCAATCTAATTTCCACATAGCTGCTAAAATATTCCTAATGCACAAGTGTGACCATGTCACAGCTTTGCTTAGGAAGCTCCAGTGTCTCTCAATTTCCAATTTTGTCATTTTAAGTTCTTTATAATCTCACTCTAGCCAAAGTTTCAAGATTGACTTCTCATTACTCCCTACCATGTCTGTATATTTCTGCCAGTTTGGCTTACTTATTTTTTCCTGTCCAAGACATTTCATCCCTTATTTTCGTGCCTTTACACAGGCTTTATCCACTGCTTGTAATGCTCTCCTTTCTACTTTCACCTTTTAGCATCCCTGGCTTTATTTAAGATTTAGGTCATGTAACATGACCTACAAGAATCCTCCTGTAGGTCAGGAACAGTTTTTTGTTTTGTTTTGCTTTTTGTTTTAAATCCTTATATCCTGACACCTAGCACAGTTCTTTATTTTTACTAAGTCCTTGTTGGATTTTATTGTCTTTAATTTTTATCATATTGACTTTACTTAACTAAAGAATTGTTTAGTTCTTCCTTTATTTCTGGAAAAATTATCTTGTAGTTGACTTTATATTAAGTTCTTTATATTTCTTGTGTGCTTACTATCTTTAAGTTGTATTTAAACTAATTCCACTGTAGTGACATGTTGGAAATCTTTTTCATTTCTATGTAATCAGATTTTATGAATGTTCTCTAAAATGATATATACCTATATGTGATTTTTATTTTGTGTCAGCTACTTTCTGTGATCACTGATACTACAGACTTGAGGCAGAAAGCATTAAACAAAGCATTATCTAAATTTATGTAAATATACTAATATTGTATACATATTTATTATCTACAAGTTCTTTACTTTCAAATATTGAAGTTAATTTGAAATTTTTCTGAAACTTTGTTTTAACAGAAACAGACATGTTCTTTTTAGCCATCAGCATGGTAGGAACAGACTTTTCCATGATTGGCCAACTCTTTCCTCACAGAGCAAGAATAGAAATTAAGGTAAAAATAAAAGTAAACTGTTGGGGTTAATCAGGAAAGGGGCCGGGAAGTACTTAGCATGTCTTTCTATCAACCTTTGTTTTTTGTTGTTGTTTCATTTCATTACTTTCTTTTATATTTACTCTGTTAGATGAAAAGCATGTTTCTCAACCTTTAAAATATGTATTATGTAAACAGGTTTAGTTGACCATATATATATCATTATCACATAATAATATAACAGCTGGCATTGAGATGACACTTTAATTTTGTCTCATTTGTCACAACAGCCTTGTGAGCTAAGTACTGCCGTTATTCTTTCTACTTTTTTACATAGAAAACAATTTGATGACTTGTCCATAGCAACAAAATGAGAAAGTGACAAGTGGCATTCAAAGCCAAATTTCCTCATTCCATGTCCCCTTCAGTTTTCATTACCCCTCACTGTCTCTCAGCATGAATTTTATGTTTATGTTTTGCAGTAGATGAATAATTGAGACTACTTAAACCCTTTCCACCAGAATTCTGGGGCTTAATCCCCATTCCAGCCATCTTTACTGTTATCCATCATCCTAAGTCATTGAGGCTAATCATAGCATCACTTCCAGTTCTGGAGTAGAGAGCTAGTGCCCTTGTATCTGTTGTCACTACTATTTCTCTAAAGCCAGCATAGGATGTCATTGATATAACATTTATAGTAATTTTTTGGAAGATTCTAGCCTTTTGTGTTCACTGTTTGAATTCACCTGTATAAGAGGAAGGGTCTTTGAGGGTCACTTGTTTTTACAGTAACTGTTGGAAAGAACTAATACTAGATTGAGTTCTATCCTAAGCTCCATTTTGGCATGAGCTCGGCATTTTTGTGTGGGTGTTCTTTAATTTATTTACTAAACTATTTCTGAGTTTTCTATTTTTTAACAATTATTCTCCTATTTATTTTACTTAGTATTCATTGACTCCTCCCTCTCATTTTCTTCTCATCTTGCCACTTGTCAAGTCCTGTTAACTGTGTGTCCACAATAACTTTCTAAACCTCTGCTTCCTTTCTCTTCCTATTGTCACCACCCTAGTTCAGGCCTTTATTGTTGACCTATTGGCAATACTTCCTTTTGGGGGGGGGGGTGGTAGGGAGCAATTGGAGTTAAGTGACTCCCAGGGTCACATAGCTAGTAAGAGTCTGAGGCCAGACTTGAACTCAGGTCCTCCTGACTCCAGGGCTGGTGCTGTATCTGCTGTGCCACCTAGCTGACCTTCAGTACTTCCTACCTTAAGATCTCAACTCTTCAGGTTCATCTTTTCAGTTTTTCTCAAGCAAAGCTTTGCATATACTGTGCTCTAATTGAAAATCTTAAGTGTTAGTTTGTTGCCTATCAAATAAAGTATGAACTGTTTCACAGGTGAACACACAAGTAACACCATTTGTTGGGCAGGAGAACACAGGAGGCCCCTAACACTAACAGGTGTTCTAGCACAGGTTCACTTTTGATCTGATTAGACAGGAAGACAGCTTCAGAGAGGTTAAATTAGCTTACTTTATTCTAGTCTAGTCTTTTCAAGTGGGTCATTGATAATGGGAGCACCAACACCTATACCATTCCGTAATCACGCTCCTCACAGGGGCGGGTGAGAATAGGAATACAACTCTTCATCTCTTAAGCCTCCATGGGGACCAGTTGAAGCAAACACAGATTTCTCCCCAGCCCTTGATGAGGGCTGATCAAGGCTGATACATGCATTCCTGTATTCATTACCCAAATCCCCAAATGGGTTCACCCCAAGCCTTGATGGGGGCCAGTCAAGGCAAGCACAAATACTCATCTCTCATGGTCATTCCTCTTCCCCATTTACTGACCAGTGCCCACTTGCTTTACAGGACAACAGACAAAGAAGGCATCTTGCCAACATTAAGCTCACGGTTAACTTTAGCAATACCGTCATTCAGTACAAGCCTAGTAAATATTACTTATGTTATATCTGTATCTCACTGCAATGGTGCAGTAGAAGTTGTTTTCAACCATAATTCATGGGAAATATGATCTAGGATCCTGGCACTATTATCTAAACAGGAATAACAAAATCCTCCTTACACACACTAAAATCCACCTTCCTTACATGAACTCTACTCTCATAATCAAAGTGTTCTACGTTTTGGCCCCTACCTATGTTCCGTGTATTTTCTTTCCTGTTATTCTTCAGTGCTTCTAATAAACTGAACCCCTTGTCATTCCTTAAACATGCACTGCGTTTCCCACCTTTGCGTCACTGTCCGTGTTTTTACCTTGAGCTTGTGCTTCCCTTTTCTCCTCTGTCTCCGCCCGTCGCAATCTTGCACATTTTTCAAGCCCCATCTTAATTCTTACTTTTCTGATAAGGCTTCCCTCTCCTTGATCTTCCTCTTTTCCTTTAGATGGGATCTTTCTTTCCTTTGACCCTCCCTGGCACTTTCTACCTCTTAGTCTCCTAGATCTAGAGCTGTAAGGAACCTTTAAAGGTCCTCAAGTCCAAATACCCCCTCCTCCCCACCATTTTAACATTCTTTCTAGTGAAGGAAAATTATAGATGAAATTTTATTTTGTTTTATTGTTACAGAATAAATTTAAACGTGAGGAAAAAGCAAATGGGTGGAGAATTGACAAAGCATTCCGTAAGTATTCTCATTTCTAAAAAAAAATTCATGTTATTTGGAGAGCCCTTTTATAAGCCTTGTTTTTGTTCACTTTATTTCAGAGTAGACTTTTTTGATATTGTCATGCTTGGGAGATGTGGGCACTACTGGAATATAGCTGTCTAGGAGGGTCTAAGCCCAAAACTTACGGTGAACAAAAAAGTATCTGGCACGTGTTTCAGGCCTAGACAGAAAACAAATCATTTCAAATTAAGGCTGGTTGGAGTAGACAAATACCTTGAGTCTATGCAAACATGATTCAGATCTAAGGAGGTCTATGAACATATTTGGTGGAGTAGGCATGTACCATATGTAGGCTGATGGAGAATCCAAAGTCTAAGAGGATGAGAATCAGTAAAGACAACATTGATTGTGGAGCATACCAAGACTATTTGATTTCTTCCCTCTTCTGTACTGCTTGATGCATATAAGTGTCTGAGTACACACGTGTTAATCATTGGCATAAAAAGGTTAGTGGAATGGAGGTTATCTCCCCTTTGATTGAGGAACAAATGGTGATACTAAGATCACCAGGTCCTAATATCAGGTTTGTTTTTTTTCCTCGTATATGTGGATGTTTACTCTTTCTCTTATATGCTGTTTGATATTTAAGGTTAGTATCTGATTTGAGGGTTTATCTAGAATTTTTTTTCTCTTTGAAAGTGTACCATATGGGAAAATTACAAAGATGTTAAATATTTAAAGTTTATAATTTTACTCTAACCTTTAAGTTTTTAAAGTGTCCTTTATATCAAAGCAAATCACATTCATCAGGAATATATAATATCAATATTAAATGATTATTAAATAATGGTGTACAAATTCATTAAATTTGGAGTCTCACTGTACGTTCTTATAAATCAGGCCAGTAATGCATGAAGCAGTGGGCCATTATTGTAGAGTTAAGTTTAAGACCTAATATGAGACACTTGGGACAGGTACAATAATAGAAGTATACAAGTAGGGAGATCTGGAACCTTGATCATAACAATTTTCAGGCCATGGTAGGGGATGGAAGTGGGCAGGTCTTTTGGAGAGCTTGTCCTTGGACTTGAAACACTTAGGTTCACTAGCTGTCCGTTACTCGTCTTAGTTGGTGTGTATGATGGCCCTGTGTCTTCCATATCAGGGCAGCTGTGTAAGGGAGCAAACATATTTTAGAGGGAGGGAACAGATTTTTCACTCAGGCATACTTGATTGGTTTCCCATCTCTAATGTAACAGGCAAGGAAATGCCTGGACTTGGCCTATAATACACTTATTGTACAAGCGTGAGACATCAATGTTTCTAGTAGAGAGAATGGAAATTTTCAGAAAAGGGCATGGTTTGGGGTGTTAATTAAACAGGTAGAATGAAGGCAGGTTTTCAGAGCAGAGGCAACCTTAGGGGTCTCAGAGAGACCTGAGAAGCCTTTTGTATTATCAGAAACATTGATTAATGCTATTAGAAAAAAAATTTGCCAAGAAAAATCTTAAGGTGCTTTGAATTTGTGCTTAATTTAAGAAAAATTAATGTACATTGAGATAGATGAATAGGATACTTCTCCCTCCAACCAGGTCCTTTGGGAATTTATACTAGAATGTTGTCTAGGATGAGACCTAGACAGCATGGGCTAACTTGGCCCCACATTATTCCCATTTGAGAGCAGTGTTGCTAAACATCTTTGGGCTGTGAAGCAGTTCAGCAGGACCAAAGACCACTTTTTATGACCACTAGCTTCAAGTTGTGCAACATGTCTGCTAAACCATTAAGGAAATTACTGTCAATATGATCACTGACTTAGTAACAGTGGACTTTGAAAAATCATAGCAAAGAGGACAAGTACTACAGGATTAAAGATGAGTAAGTGAAATGTTCTCGTTTCCCCAAAGAAGAGCAGAAAGTTAATTTTTCACTCTAAAGACCTATGTGCTTTATTTCTATACCTGAAAATTTTTAGAATTGCTTTATTAAAGGAACACTTTGTGAGCTTTTAAAAAGGAAAACCGATCAGCCAGTCCTCATTTTAATTTTCTAAACTGGTTAAGAAGGGAAATGCTATAAATATAGTATCCCTGAATTTAGATCAGCATTTGATAATGTTTCATGATGTCTTTGTGGAAAAGATAGAGAGATAGGGGTTCATTGATAGTGCCTTTGGTGTGGAATATGTTAAATGACCATATCTGGAGAATTGTGTTTATGGATTTAGGTCAGGAATAAAGTTAGCCTCAGCAAAGTGTTCCAAGGATCAGTCCTTAGTGGCAGTTCTGAAAATTTTTATCAGTGACTTTAAAGACCTCAGTGCTATCTACGCTTATTTAATTTGAGATCCCACAAATCTGGAAAGAGTAGCATATTAGGTAGATAAGGGAAAGTATGTTGGATGAAGGAGCCCAGATCTCAAAAAGATCTCTAGGACAGATGGAACAAATCTAATTAGTTAAAATTTAATAGAGATAAGTGTAAGGCCTTTCCTTGTTGGAGTGTAAAATTAGCTGTATATTCAGGTTTGAGAAAGTAGGTAGCAGGTTGTGTTATTTGGGATATTAGTGGACTACAAATCCAATTTATTGAGTAACATGATAGAGCAGCCAAAAAACTGAACACAATACTATCTTAAGCTATCTTAGTCACAGCATATGTAGAATATCATGTTCAGTTCTGAGTGCCCTGTTTTGTGGTGGGAAATTTATAAGTCAGCATGTCTGTGGGAGGATAACCGGGAGGATAAAAGGGCTGGAGACTAAGCCATATCAGTGCAAAGAACTGGACATGTTAAGTTTGGAAGAGAGCAAGGACAACATTGTGGTTATATTCAATTGAAAAAGGTTGTCTTGTAGGGGTTGGCCTCGTTCTCAGAAAACACAGATATAAGAAATGAATGAAAATTTTGAGAGATGAAATTTTGGCTCAGTGTTCAGAAATATGCCCTTGTGGATTAAAGATACCCCAAAGTATAATAGACTGTTTTAGTAGGTAGTGAATTTCTTATTACTGGAGGTCTTCAGGCAGTGGCTAGATTTCCCTGTCAGGAATCTTATAGAGAGAAATTCTGTCTAGATTAGGCTAGGTAATATCAGGTCTGTTCCAACTTGGAGGTTTTGTGAAATTTGCCACAGTTGAAAAAAATGTGAATTTCGTACAGTGGAAAATGATGCATAAATATGAGGAATTAAGAGGACCATAGAAAGATTGATGTGAACTGATGCAAAATGAAATAAGGAGAACCAAAAGAATGATATGAAGCAGTCATTACAAAATGTAAGTGAAAAGATCAGTAAAAGGAAGTCAACCAGTGAATGATAGGACAGATAACAAATATATCTTTTCCCTCATGGCAGAAAGGTGGAAGACAAATATGACAGAATACTGTATGCATTGTCAGACCAAGTTTCCTTGTCAATTATTTTTGCTTAATTATTTTTCTTTATCATAAGGGATGTTTCTGTCAGGGGATAGTGTTGAAATGACTGTGATATGAAGAGAAAAGGTACCAGTAAGATATATTTTTAAGTTAATTTTTTTCTGCAGATTCAAATCTATAATAGAAAATCAACATTTTTAAACCTGCACATTTTCCTGTAACTTTTATTTTCCATCTGGTCCAATTTTCTTATTTTACAGGTAAGGAACTGGAAACCCACAGAGGTTGACATAAGGATATAGTAAATAGCAAAGTTGGAATTCAAATTCAGATCATCTGATTCAATCTAGTTTGCATCAGAGTGTGTCAGGAACTTTTGGAATAGACTCATAAGATTATAGATTTTAGGGATATTATAGGCTTAGTCCTAAGACTAATGTCCAGTATTGAAGACTTGATAAGGATGTAGGGTGGTAGTTGATTTCTTGAGGCACCAAGTTTTTTTTTTTTACATCAAATTCACTTTTCTAAGACTATCCTCTAACCAGACTACCCACAGTATTTAAATATATAAAGCATCAAAACTGAAACAGAATTTGGATCAGGGTATTTTGTTGCCCTTTCCAGATTTGCCTGTAAATCCTTGGAATTCTACCTATGATTTTTTTAATGCCACTGCTTTAAATGTATTCCTTGATGGTTTGTTGTTCCATTCATTTGTCTGCTATTCCCAGTGCTGCTGAAAGGGATATGATACTACTACTGCTACTACTACTGCTACTACTGCTGCTGCTACTGCTACTACTACTACTACTACTACTACTACTACTACTACTACTACTGATAGTAATTGTACTAGTAGTAATAATAAGCAATAATAAGTAGCATGTATACACTTTGTACCAGGCACTGTACTTTACAAATGGTATCTCATTTGATCTTCACAACAACATTGGGAGGTAGGTTCTGTTGTTATTAGCATTTTACAGATGAGGAAATTGAGGCAAACAGCTTAGGTGACTTGCTCAGGGTCATACAGTTAGTATGTGAAGCTGGATTTGAACTCGGGTCTTCCTGACTTCCAGCACTCTAACCACTCTGCCACCTAGCTGATTTTTGTCATTATCAGGTTGCATTTCCTATATATTATATCAGAGGGTGATAGTAGCAAGAGGACAGGGGTGGAGCTGGGTAGGCTTTTTGGCATGTCCTTAGGTCATTAGATAAAGTATTTATTCTAACTTTTAGGATATTTTGGAAATCATGACCAGAAACATTGTTTTTTACATTTTATTTTGGACAGAAGAGAAACGCCCCTTTGACTTCGATTTCTTTGCTCGTTTGCTTGAGAAGGTCCTTGCAGAAGAGGAGAAAAGAAAACAGAAAACTGTTAAAAATCAGAACACAAAAGAGAAGAAGTCTTCTAGACCTCGAAAAAAACAAAATGGTATTTATTATAAATGAGAGTATGAAATGATATTGATTTGATTGTGTTTTTATTCTTAATGATTGTTGAGGTTTTATAGGTGGTTCTGTAGGTTGGGAACATCAGGATCAGAGCATTCAACTAAAGGGTGATTGATTTTTCTTCAGCTTCATAGTTATTTATGACTAGTAGTCTGTATAGGAGCTGCTTCCTAAATAGTTTTTGGAGTACTGTATCAATGTTACATATATATAATAAGTAGTTGCATTCTAAAAAACATTGAGTATGATGGGTGGCATATCTAGTCTGTCTCTGTAGGCCTGTATAGTTAACACCATATCTTAATACTTCAGTACTGATTTCCAATGTAAAAGCAATCTTTAATTATTTTGTATTTGACTCTATTTATTTTTTTTAGTGGAAATCTAATTCTCTTTATTTTAGGAAATCTGTTTTATGCCATTAATGCATTTGAGTACTACTGGCATCTGAAAGGCAATTTCAGTTTTTGTTGGAAAATTATTTCTACATAAACTTCTTGGTCTATAAGCATAAATATTTAGATTTTCTTAACTGCATCCTTTAAATCCTCCTTACATAGTATATGCTACTAAATTAGGGGATCTTAGAGCTAGACTGTTATTTAATCATTTTACACCTGAGGAATTTGAGGCTGATGAGCTCAGGTGATTTCACCAAGGTCAAACCAGCTAGTCAGTGATGGAGTTAGGGCTAGATCCAAAGTTTTCTCAGGTGCTTCTTCCACTTTGTTGTCTCTGTCTTTGTGGAAATAGTATTGAGAAGATCATACTTCATTTCACAGTATATAATTCTTAGCCATTTTTCACTTGCTACGTATGCCAGATGGGAAAGAAGTAATATCAATTCTTCAATATTAAATTCTAAAATAATTCTATTAATTCTGATTTACTAAGTTGCTTTTAGAGCTTTCTCAGTTCATAGGATCATAGATCTAGATCTGGAAGAAACCTTAGTTCACTGCAACTTGTTTTATAACTATCAAGACTACTTCTAAGGACAGGAACAAGTTTCCAGAATGTTTAAACGATGTTTGTTGTTATGACATAGAGAATATCTGATTTAATTCTCCATTTGTCCTCTTTCCCCTTTCTGTGTTTTTATACTCTTCATTTTTATTTATGTTCATTTCATCATTTTGCCTTTATGTCTTAAAGTTGCCTATTAGTCTGTCTGGAAAAAATATAACCATTTAAAAGTGAAAATAGAAAATTTATAGATACTTCTGTTTTTAGTAAATAAAGTTGCCAGTGGTGAAGTGGATGATGATCCAGATGAGTCTCTCAATGCTAGAATTTCAGACATGGAAGGAACTGAAGTGGGTGCTGAGATTGTCGAGAAAGAGAATGACCAGTCTTTGAATATAGCAGGACAGACTATATTAGAGTCTGTTGTAAACAGAAAAAAACGGAAAAGGAAGAAAAAGGATGATACTGATGAGCAAGAAACAGAAAATCTTTCAAAAGAGGCCACTGACCGCTCAGACACTTCTAAAGGAGAAAAGCCAAATAAGAGTAAGTGATATTTTTTTAGCTGGAATCTATAGTAAAGTTAAAGATTATGCAATACTTATTGTACAACTGAACTTTTTGCTTATATTTTGCTTTTGAATAATCACTGTCAAATAATACCTATTAAGTGTTGATTTATTTATATTCATGGCACTGTGTCCAAGTTACTTATTGTTTTGACAGAGATGGATTGGCATTAGGAGATGGTTTTTATTGGAAGCATAATAACACTTATTAGAATTTACATGTTTTTGACCATTGGTTGTTGTGAGGTTGAAGTGGGAAGGTGAAAGTACTAGAAATAGAGCAGACATTATTTCTGCCCTCATGAGTTAAAAATTTTTATTGCTTAAGATGACAGATGAGTTAAAAGTAAGAGAAAAAGTAGTCACAGATTAGAAGAATTCCAAGTAATTTGGTTACTGATTTAACTATAGTTGGTCCATCAAGACACACACACAGAGTAAATGGGTATTGCCAGGTAAAATAATACTAATAGCTGAGAGTTATATGTCCTTTTTGGTTTGCAAAATGGTTGACATACACTCCCTGTTTATATACTTTGCCTCCTAACAAAGGTAGGTAGCCATATATCATTTTTATTTTACAGATAAGGAAATTGTAATGTAGAGATGTTAAGGGATTTACTGATGGTCATGCACTTAATAAATAGCAGAGCTGTAACTCAAAGTTGGGTTTTATGATAAGACAACTGATGCTCTTTCCACTGCACTGTACTATCTGCTTTCAGATTTTAAGGGAGTCTTGGTATGGTGGTTTACATGTAGATGATGATAATAAAAAAATTATTTATTGAATCAATCGTTGAATATTCAGTGTTTTCCAAATTACAGGCTTAGAAAAGATTTTTATACTCTTGATGACACCATCAGAAGATGCTTCTCTGTTAAAAAAAATTGGAAAAATTTTTCTCTTGCATTTTGAAAATAACATTGATTTGTTTGTTAATAGAGAAATGTCAGCTTTTGGTAACTGTAATAAATGAGGATGAATGTAATAAAGACTTGGAAGTTTCCAATTTAGAAAACCTAGATGAGATTGCTTGCATACCACCAAGTGAAAATGATGAGAATGAAAGTGAACACATCTCTTCAGCAAGGTAATTTTAATGCTTTTCAACAAGTTCACTGTCTTCCTAGTTCTCTTGGATTGTCAGACCTATGGACATAGTTTGTTATTTAAATCATTTAAAATAAGTGTATAGTAAAGTAAAATCTGATTATCTCAGCACACAGCCACCTGATTTGAAAAGCAGGAGTGATTTGCTTGCATTTTGTTTTCAATGAGTGGAGTTAGAACTGGAATGTAATTTTAGTACTGTGATTGTTAGCTCTATTCCTCCAAAATGTCTCCTAGTATTTTTTTTTTTTTTTTTGCTAGGCAGTGGGGTTAAGTGACTTGCCCAAGATCACACAACTAGTGAGTATTATGTGTCTGAGGCCAGATTTGAACTCAGGTCCTCCTGAATCCTGGGCCGATGCTCTATCCACTGTGCCACCTAGCTGCCCGTCTCCTAGTATTATTTAGAAGGGGATGTTACCTACCACCTGGAATTTCCTATCACTTACTACTCTTCTATATGTGTTACAACTAATGGCCACCAATGACCAATTCAGTAAATTCCTATTTCTTAGCCTTTTGGTTTGGGTCTCTTAAATTGAAAATTACACTGATTTTTGTTTGTTTGGCATGTTGGAACAACCATATTACTTTATAGTCACCCACTGCGCATTATACCAACAACTTAACCTTGAAAGGATAGCTTCAAATACTTTGTGTATGTAAATTTGTACCATCAATCTCATATAGGTAATGATTTTACATTTTGCTACTTCCTGTCTTGAGGAAGAGCTTTTCTTGAGCAGAGCTTGCTTGTGTTAACTTGTAGTAGCTTCTTACTCTGAAGAAGGATTTTTTTTTCAGAATATACTTAGATAAAGCAAGTTTTTCTTTGCAAATGAGTTTCAGGTGTACTTTTCATTTAAGCACATAATGCAGGTTGCCTTTAATAGCCTCAGTTTGGCTTATCTTAATAGCTAATTTAATTTTCTTTCTTTCCAATTGTGTGTAAAACCTATGTAAGTTTTTGATGGTGATAGACATTGTTATCCTGTTTTTTTGAAAGAATGTTAGTTAGAAAGTACTGTTAGGCACACTATAACAAATTGAATTAATTAGAAACAATTTTGAATGTTATTCACTGAAAACGCCCCACAAAGATGCTGTAGGAGCAATACAGTATCAAATTGAATTTCTTAAGTGTGAACTACATACTTCTTAGAATTTCCATGCTTTAAAGACCTCTGAATGTTTATGCATGTTAAAGGATAATACTATCACATCTCTTTGACCATGCTTTTCTTCTTCAGTAATCAGAATGCTAATGCCGCATCAGTAGCAGCAGTTGAATCCTCTGAACCAGAGGCTTTAGATTTGTCTCCTTCAAAAGCTAGAAGTAAAGAATTGACTCAGATTGTTCAAGTTGACAGCAACGTAGGAGGAAAAATTAGTGATACTAATATTAAACTCCTGTAAGTATCTTTTATAAATGAAATTGTAGGAAAAAGAGAAGTGGTGTGTTGAATGTTCATGACATTTCCAAGGGTTAGATTCAGTGTACGTTTCTTTTGCCATTAAGTGTATATGTTAATGACATGTGGCATTCTGCCATTAACTTTTTATCTTTAGATACTATAGAATAGGTATATGATTCCTAGTAAGTTACTGATTATAATAATGCCTCTATAAGAAATTAAGTCTTAAGTTTTTTCATGGGTTTTGTAGTACCGAGAATATCATCCGTGTGGTCTGTGCATATCATGATCTTTCGAGATCTTTTCATCTTTTTCTGTTTTTTATTGGTGCTTCATTGTTTCTCTAGCCAACATATTAGAGACCTTCCTCTTTTTTAATATCCCAGATATGCTGTTGTACTGTTTGGTCAGTCAGTTTTCTTTCTAACTAGATGAGCAGCCTACACCCTTTTCCACTCACATGAGACTATATTTTTTATGCCATTTCTTGCTTTCAAGTTGTTGTTGGTTATGTACATGGCACAACTTAGTTATGTCTATAATGCACCTTTCCATTTGCCAATTTAGGAATTTGTGATGTTCCATTTTTGTAGCCATATAACATCACTGGGGAAATGGTGGCAAAAAGGTGTAGTGGGAACACAATTTGAGATCCTTGAAAACCCTTTGCAATTTCCTGAATGTGGTTCATTCTCTTCTGCACTCTTGGGTCAAGCAGTATCTGTGTTGTTGTTGTGTGTGTTTGTATTAATTTGATGCACTTCTTGTCCACTTTTGATGCAATTAAATTTTTTTTTCTTTTGTGCATACATGGTTAGACTTTTCTTGTACTGCATAGATTTAACCAAAGAGGATTTGGGACTTGATGTCATTTAGATGTCTACTAATAGGAGATGTGGATAATCTGATATCGATGGGGACTTAAAGTTACCTTATTATCCATTCATCTGATTAAAAAGTAGAAGCTATGAATGATTGATTAAAGCAGCCCTCATGGAATATCTTTTATAGACTCTCTATGAGTTTAATCATCTAAAAGTCTTTAGAGCTATTTTTTTCATTCTAAATTTAATGAACACTAAAAAAGAGAACCTTTCCCATATAAAAAAATAGAACAGAAAAAGGGATTATATGTGAAACAGCAAATGCTTTTTTTTAAAAAAAAGTATATCATAAATTCAGTAGGCTACTGTCATGACTGTTCTGCTCGTTGGTTTCTCTCTGACCTTTTATTCCCTTCCGTGTGTTTTTTAAGGTGTTTGTTTCAATCATCCTTTTTTTTAAAAATTTATTTATTTTTTTACTATCACTAGCTACTAAATGCTTTTCTCACAATAACACTGAGACTGAGGTAGTGTAAGTATCATTATCCATTTTGTACCAATTAGAGAACGGAGGTTCAAGGATATCAAGTGATCTGACCTGAGTCTCGTAGCTAGTAAAGGTCAGATCAGGGACTCATTCTGCAATCTTGTGACTCTTTAAAACAAGACCATATTTCAGTAGGTGTCTCTTTTATAATAACTTTGTTTTTAAGCATTGTTTTCTGTAATTACATGTCTTTGACCATACACAAACTCTCTAGTTTGAACATAGTTTAAACTTTATGCTATTTTTTTTTTTTAGGGAAGCTGAAAAAGCTGATACTGGCAAACCCAAAGTGAGAGGGCGTCCCCTCAGGCCTAAACCCAACTTGTTAAGACCATTTGGAAAGAAAGTAGAATCTACTGAAAATAAAATTGAAGTAGAGAGCAAAAATTCATTTCCAGAACTTCCAGGAAATGTTGAAAAGGTATAGAATAGGAAGAGACTAAGTTGAAAATAAATTATAAATTTTTTTCCAGATGGTTGATTAAAATGCATGAGGTGTGACTATGAAGTAATATTATGTATTTTTAAACCGCTATGCTAGAATTTATAAATCCAAATGATAAAATTTTCCAAATGAATCACTATACTTATTCCAGTGTTATTGCTATTACTGAAGACATTTTTGAAACTTTCAATATCTATAATGTTAACAGATGTTTGTCTTGTGAGGATAAATATGATTTTTGGAAATATCGCAAAATAAATTTGACTGAAGTCTGAAAAACTTGAATAATATGGTTTTTGTGTAAAAATGAATTGTGATGGGATTAGACATCTCAAGTGGAGATGTGCCACTCTTAAAGGAAATATGATATTTATTATATATCTTGTGAACTTTTCCTGAAAGCATTTTTGAAAATGCACTTCCAAGAATGTTTTTGAGAAATGGCATTATCATTACCACCCAGCTTGGAGGATCACACAGACAACTTAAGGTCCAGTATCCCTGGTTATTTCCTGAAAATACTACCCTCGTTGAGACTACAAGTATTAAAATAATCTTCCACCTGCTGCTTTTCATTCAGCTATCCAACTTCCCTGTCCCTTTGTGACATAGGAGCTGCATAGGAGCAATCTATGCTACCAGTGCCCACCTTATCCTCTCTCATTCTCCTCTTCTTCAGCTCTCTTCCACCCACGTCCTCTGGATTTCCTCCTCCATAATGACCAAGCTTCCTTTTGTTTTGGATTTCTTCCTCTTATACTTCTGTTTTTTGATTCTTACCAAAATCTCTCTTCTCCAAGATGTCTCTAGATCCCTGGCCTTTGTCTCTAGCGCTGGCTAGATTTTCCTTCATACTTAGCACCCTCCAGGAATCTAAACAATCCTTGCTTGCTCACTGAAACTTTCAGACTTTACCTTTATCACCATCACTCAGCAGCCTGTTCTTTGAAATGGAGATGATTGAATAATTATTTTGCCTTGTATGATCATGGTGGCTGTTCTGTACTAACCATCAGGACATTCTTCTGCCTTTCTCCACCAATAATCTCTTTGTTGCCTGTTCTGTCAGTCAGTCTTTCCACAGTCTTTGTCCTTGTTGATCTCTCTAATGTATTTGATGCTGTTGACTACTCTCTCTTCCTGGATATTTTTTTCCTCTCTTGATTTTTGTGAAGCATCACTCTTCTTCTCTCTTCGGATTCATCATTCTTACCACACTCGCTAAAACTGTGTGTGTTTCCCCAAAACCCAGTTCTGTACCTACTTTTCCTTTTACCCCTTTTTGGGGTGCTCCCGTGGATTTAGTGATCATATCCATGAATTTGACTCCTAAGTCTGTATATCCAGTATAGTTTCTCCCCTGAACTTCAGTCTTTTACCTATTTGACATTTTAAACTGGATATCCTAGAGGCAACTCAGACTCAGTGTGTCCAAAGGAAAATTCATGATTTCCTCCCTTACTTCACCCCTCTTCCGGATTTCTTTGTTTTTGTCAAAGGCACCACCATTCTTCCAGTCTCCTAGCTTTACAATCTTGGGCTTATTTTCATCTTTTTGCTTTCCTTCACCCAAAATCATTTGCCAAATTTTGCTACTTCTCCCTCCACTAAATCTTGCGTACCCAGTCCATTCTCTCTTCTCACCCAAGTAATTGGTCCCCTCAAATTCACCTCTACCTCAGTTTGTCCTCCACATAGCTGCCAAAATGATTTTCTTAGGTGCAGATCTGGCCATGTATCACTCCCCTTCTCATTTAACTTCAGGGTTCCCTGTTGCTTCTGTTTGGCTTTTAAAGTCCTTTAAAATCTTCCCTCAACCTGTCTTTCTAGCCTCATTCTAAATTATTCCTCTTCCTTACATCCTGCAGGCTAGCCAAGCATCCTCTCTGTTCCTCAGTCAGGGCGTAACGTCTCTTGTCTTAGGACCTTTGTGCTGGTCTTCCCCTCTGCGTGGAATGCACTTCCTTCTCACTTTGACCTCATAGAGTGCCCTCACTTCAGTATTCATTTCAAACATCATCTTCTACATGTAACCTCATATGATTCCTCCAACTGTCAATGCCCTACCTCTTTGGCTATTTTGTATGTAATTATCTTGTATTCTGTTTATATTTATTTGACATATACTTATAGATATACTTATGTTTTGCTTCTTAGAGTGTACTTTTTGAGAGTGGGGATTGTTCTATTCTTTGAATTTGTGTCCTTAGCATCCAGTGCAGTGCCCAGAAACATGCCAAATGGTTAGTAAATGTTGATTGAGCAGTCCTTTTGTGATGCCTTAGAAGGACAGTTCCATTTGGATGTCTAAGTTCTGGTGTATTTGTTTAAAATAGTTGCTTTTTTTCTTTTTTCTTTTTTTAAGGCAGTTGGGGTTAAGTGACTTGCCCAGGGTCACACAGCTAGTAAGTGTCAAGTGTTTGGTCTGAGGCCGGATTTGAACTCAGGTCCTCCTGACTTCAGGGCCGGTGCTCTATCCGCTGCACCACCTAGCTGCCCCTGAAATAGTTGCTATTATCCTACATTATATGGTAGGTTTTTTGGTACATTGTATTTGGACTTACGGGATTTTCTTCTGTTCCTTAAATTCAGCCACTAAATTAAATTTCAAAAGCTTATTTTGCTATAACTCTTATGTGTAAATAGGTTAACATTTTACAATTTTCCAGAATCACGTGGAAAAAGATGAATGTGGCCCTCCTGATGTTACTGGAAAGGAAGTCACAGCAACAGAGAGTCAAGGACCTGAAACTGAATCTCAGTAAGTATCAGGAAAAATAATTTTTAAAATAGCATTTAGGAATGGTGGCAACATGCATGGAAGATGATTATGACTTCAGATTTTTTCATTTTATTTTGTTTTTCAACTAATATGTATTTCTTTTCTTCGCTTAATTTAGAAGTAAAAAAGATAAACAAAACCCTTGTAGCAAATATGTATAGTCAAGCAAAACAAATCACCATGTTATCCTTGTCTGAAAATGCATATCTTATTTCTGGCTTTTTTGTTTCCACTGGTTATATTTAAGGTCCATTTAAAGTGTAGCTATACCCAACTCAATTGAAATTTGACATGTACAGAAATGGTAGTTTATAGTAGTTATTTCTATAGGTTATGAAGCTCCTTTCTTACTACCATTGTCACAGGATACTAAACAAATCCATGTTTAATAAATGTAGAGTATAACAGCATGGGAATTTTATTGATTTATTAATTTTTAATTTAAAAATTTTTAATTTTTATTTTTAAGTTTTAAGTTCTCTTCCCCCTTCTACACCTTCCTTCACCCATTGAGAAGGCAAGAAATACAATACTTAGTATATATATAGGAAGTCATGCATACATTACTTCAGCATTAGCCATGTTGCTGAAAAAAAAAAAGAAAAATAAAGAGGAAAAAAGTATGCTTCAGTCTACATTCATGGTTCATCAAATGTCTCTGGAAGGAGATATCATTTTTCATCATGAGTCTTTTGGAATTGTTTTGGATCACTGTAGCTCAGAGTAGCTAGGTCTTTCACAGTTAATCATCATTACAATATTGCTGTTACTATGTACAATGTTGTGTCCTGACTTCCCAGGTTTTTCTGAAACCATTCTGAAACCATCTTGCTCATTATTTCTTATGGAACAATAGTATTCCATCACAATCATCTATCATAACTTGTTCAGTCATTCCTCAATCGATGGGCATCCCCTCAATATCCAGTTCTTTGCTACCACTAAAAGAGCTGCTATAAACATTTTTGTACATAGAGGTCCTTTTCTTTTCTTTGATCTCTTTGATCTCTCTGGGGCATAGACCTAATAGTAGGATCGCTAGGTTAAAGGGTCATGGTTTTATAGCTCATTGAGTGTAGTTCCAAATTGTTCTCTAGAATGGATGGACCATTTCAGAGTTCCACAACAAAGGCAGCATGGAAATTTTAGAAAGGAACATTTACTTTAAAAAAAAAGAGAGACAGAAAGGCATCTCTAGTATCATTCTTTCCAGTTATCGCCAGTAGAATTTGTTGTTTCCCAGCATTGGATTTGTTATTTATCACCCATGTGACCTAGCAACTCACTCCACCTTTCTGGGCTCCCTCATCTGTAAAATGAAGGATTGGACTAGATGACTTTCAGGGCCCTTCCAGCTCTAAATCTATGTTCCCTGTCATAAGAAAAAATGGTGCCACATTAATCAAAGGGAATCAAATAGTAGATGTTAAGTTGAGTGGGGAATAAGCATTTATGTAGTCCCTGCTATGTGCCAGACATTGTGCTAAGTGCTTTATAAATTCTCATTTGATCCTCACAGTGACCTTGTGAGATAGATGCTATTATTATCCACATTTTGCAGTTGAAAAAACTGAGACAGAGGTTAAATGACTTGCCCAGGGTCACACAACTAGCAAGTGTCTGAGGCATTTTTGGAACTCAGGTTCTGTTGACTCTAGGGCTAGTGCTCTATCCACTGTGCCACCCAGCTGCCCCAACATTCTTTTTTAAAACTTTTTGAGTTCCAAATTCTCTCCCTCATTCCTTCCCCTCCCCCCTCATTGAGAAGGCAAGCAATTTGTTTTGGTTATATATATGCAGTCATGCAAAACATATTTCTGTGTTAGTCATGTTGTGAAAGAAAACAGCAGAAAAAAACTCAAGAAAAATAAAGAAAAAAAGTGTGCTTCGATCTGCATTCAGGCTTTATCAGTTCTCTCTCTGGAGGTGAATAGCATTTTTCATCATGAGTCCTTTGGAATTGTCTTGGCTCATTGTATTGCTGAGAATAGTTAAGCCATTCACAGTTGATCATAGAACAATATTGCTGTCATTGTGTATACTGTTCTCCTGATTCTGGTCACTTCACTTTGCATCAGTTCATGTAAGTCTTTCCAGGTTTTTCTGAAACTATCTTGCTCATTATTTCTTATAGCACAATAGTATTCCATCATAATATGTTATCACAACTTGTTCAGCCATTTCCCCAGTTAATGGGCAACCCCTTAGTTTCCAATTCTTTGCCACGACAAAAAGAGCTGCTATAAATATTTTTGTACATGTAGATCATTTTCCTTTTTATTTTATTTTATTTTTTTTATCTTTTTGGGATACTGCTGGGTCAAAGGGTGTGCAGTTTTATAGCCCTCTGGGCAAAGTTCCAAATGGTCTGCAGATTGGTTGGCTTAGTTCACAACTCCACCAACAGTGCATTAGTGTCCTGGTTTTCTCACATCCCCTCCAAACATCCAACGTTTTTCTTTTCTGTCTTATTAGCCTATCTGATAGATGTGAGGTGGTACCTCAGGGTTGTTTTAATTTGCATTTCTCTAATCAGTAGTGATTTAGAGCAATTTTATATGCCTATAGATAGCTACAATTTATTCATCTGAAAACTGCTTGTTCATATACTTTGATCATTTATCAATTGGAGAATGACTTGTGTTCTTATAAATTATACTTAGTTTTCTATATAGTTGAAAAATGAGGCTTTTATCAGAGGAACTTTCAGCTGCTTTTGTTTTTGGTGACTATTTAGTTCATTCTTAACATATTCTAGGCAATATCATTTTTTTTTTTGTGAGGCAGTTGGGGTTAAGTGACTTGCCCAGAGTCACACAGCTAGTGAGTGTTATGTGTCTGAGGCAGGATTTGAACTCAGGTCCTCTTGACTCGGGGGCTAGTGCTCTATCCATTGTGCCACCTAGCCGCCCCTGGCAATATAATTCTTTTTCCACAGTCCTCCTACTCCTTTCCCCTTCTCCTACCCCCCCTTCCCTGTTTCCTTCTATTTTTGTTTTATAGAAGTTTAATGAAGTACCTAAAAGATAGGAATTATCAATTTGTGTACACATTTCTAACTTTACAATTGATAGTAATGAAAAATTTAATAAATTTACAAAGAATTTTAAAGAAAATGTTTCACAAAATGAGATATTCCAAATCGTCTTAGTTATTGTAAAATACAGTAAATAACAGATCATATGTTAGGAAGAAGACATCCCTTATTTTACCCCCCCCCTTTTTTTTTCAGTGAAAAACATGGTTTACCAGAAACTAATAAGGCAAGTACTTTCAGACCACCGAGGTTAATGAGGGGTCGAATGCAGAGGCCAAAGCCACATATCGGGAGAACAACTGGCCCGAAAGAAGTATTAGCAGCAGAAGACAAAACTGGAACTAAGGAAGAGGAGGAAAGTGAGTCCAGTGTCACCAAAGGTGTAAGTATTGTCTTTTTTTTTTTAAATTCAAAACAAAACAAAACAAAACCTTAGATCCAAGATCAAATCTAATCATTTGTTAATCTTATAACACAAACAAGCCAAAATCCTATGGTTAGGAGAACAGATTTCCCAAGTGTTAAAATAAAAGAAGAGTGAACCCTAATTTACCTGAATTTTGAAGAGACCTACTTTATACATAGTCTGTAGCCAGTCTTTAATTCCAGAAAGATCTCCCATGACCTCTCCTATAACCTCTCATTTAAATAACCCTTGCTTTCCAGTTGATCCTTTCTACCCCTACCTCAGCAGTAGTTGTTTGCTTAGGAAATGAAAAGTAATTTTTAATATTGACCTCAATAAAATATTATTTAAAAAGGTAAATACTTTTCCCTTTTTGGAATGCATTATAAATTTTGTTTTTTGGCATAACTAACATTTTTCTTTACTAAATGGCAAATATAAAATAATCCATATCAGCCTATTATGTTTGTGAAGTTTATTATGAAGACTTTGGGATGTAATTTTAGATTTATTTTGAATGGTAAAACCTTTCAATAAATTTGAAACTAGGTATTTTATATATAGTGTACAAAAGTCTTAGTGCAGTTTTAAGCTGTAATAACTTCAGTTAGTACTACAGACTTACAAAAAATGACATTGGAAAGGTTAATTAAAATTTTAAAATATTTATGTTTCTGATTAAAATTCAAAATAAGTTTTGTGCTGTAGTCATTTTTAAAATTTTATAAGAACTTTCATCAGCTGCTTCTCGGTGACTGAAAGCATTGCATTTGTAACCCTATCCTTAATTAACATCATGCAAAAATGAGGTTTTGATACCTACGTGACAGTTTTGATGTGACCCCGCAACAAAAAGTCTAATGGATATAGATCAGATAACTGTGGTAGCCAAGCAGGAAGAGTTATTAAATTATTAAACTGTGCTAAGACTTTTGGGACACACTGTGTACTGATTGTGTAGATTTTGTTCAGCTGTCAGTATAGGTGTCTTCCATGGCATCTGGAGCACTGACAGTTTGGAAAAAAAAGAGTAGGGGACTAAACAAGTTAGGTCATTTCCTAAGTTGGTCAGTAGAAAAGACTATAAGTAATATTTGTTGTCTAAAATGTTATGTTCCCTGATGTTATTTTTAAAAGCTGGTAGAATTCAGATTTTTAAAAATTGAATTATATTTCCTGTATGTGTAATCAAATTAATTTTTCTCTGATGGTCCCTGATAGATTCTTTACTTTTGATATTATTCAGTCTTTTTTTCTTGCTCATAGCATCTATTATTCTCTTTAATATACAGTGAGCATTCAATAAGTGCCATTGACTGACGCAAACAGTCTGACATCAAACTTTGAAATGATAACTGTGGGACCTGTATACAAATGTCATGTCTGCATTTTGTTGATTTCATTATAGTGGTCAGTCAACAAAATTCTGGTTAAATACAGTGGTCATTGTTAGTACCATACTATCAAAGTTAAGGGACAAATCCTTCCATTTGTTAACAAGTAAAACATAATTGTGCTTAATATACTTTGTAATCATGTTTTAGGGAATACCTTTTTATTAAAACCAGTCATGTCAGTATATTTAAAGTAATAAATGAAAGGGAACCAATATAACTGCCTTGTAACAGATTTATATATCTTTGGTTTTTCAGGCTGCCATTTGAAGTATTGTAATAATTGCTTATGGCTCACGTGATTCCTAGTGATATAATAGCAATAATTGACCATATATATACATTATCACATTTGATCCCCATTTGACTAATATATTGAAGGAAGGATACTGAATGAAGAAGTATTTGGAAAGATAATTTTGAGGGTCATGATTTGGAGGGATGACATTCTGGCAACTTCTTGTGTGTTAATAAAAAGGGAGAAAGAATGAGTTCTTAGAGATGTGAAAATAAGAGGAAAGAGTAAATGGAGGCATATGACATGTTATTAGCTATTTAAGAGGAGTATTCAAAGGACAAAATTTAAAGAATTATGTTGGCATTTTATTTGTGAATAGGATACTATAACTTTTTTTCCTCTAGAAGTACAATAGCCTGGATTTTCAAATGAAGTTCCTTTCTTCATTGGGTATATTTTTTCCTCCACTGAAGGCCTACTCTTGATGCTTTTTGTGATGTAGAGTTGATCTATTCTCAAAGGCTGGCCCAGTAGATTACAAGTACTAACAGATTCTTCTAAAATCGAAAGGCTTCTATTACAAGCCTAGTAACATGTTTTGCTTGGCATATGAACATCAGCATAGCTAAATTCAGAAAGCTTCATAATCAGAAGGTTCATCTTCAGGCAGTAGAGTTTTTTGGTCACAGAAACTCATGAAGCTTACTATTGTGTGGAGGTATCATTAAGAGAGGAATTACCCACACCAATAAAAACTTTTGAATTATTAAAATAACATGTGCATTTCTTAGCATCATTGTGAAATGTATAAGATGTTTGCCATTTTTTTATTCTTAAGGCCCAAGTACAAACAGAAGATCAATCATTTAACAAGTTAGATGTTGGGAATAGTTCGCAGAGTGAAAAAGAAGATGTAATTTCTCAGAAGTCAAAAACAGATGAGCTTGAGACTGTTAAGGAAAATCAGAGGTAAGTGCATCAGGAGGAACCGATTCAGTTTTTTTGTCTTTGTACTCCTAGCACACAGTATGTGCTTAATAAATGCTTGTAGGTTAATTGATTGGTTTGTAATTGAAAATTTTATGTTTACACATGATAATTTTTCCAAAGTTTAGCTGAAACGACCTATCAATTTCTTAGAACATCTATGGTCAGTTATAGGGAAGACATAGGAAATTCTTTATACTCACTCATGAGAAAACTTGGAAACCTGCTATTTTAAATTTTTGGACATTTGAAAGCATTGCATTTAAAAAAAAATTTCTTAGTTTCTTACCCTTTGTATGACTAGTTTTGCTAAAATTATTGTTTCTATAAGGTTTCTTTCTTGTACCTTGTAGAATATAAGATGTAGAACTGTGGTGAAAATTCTGCTTTAGCCTTTCCCATAAGCATTTTAAAGACAAGATCTAGAATTTTTGGTATTTACTGTTTTCTTGTAAGATGAAGTATTTCTTCTCTTTTCCTTTCTGAGGTTTCTGTGTATTCTAGCACAAGTCTCCAACTACTATAGCTTTACTAAAAGATTAAAGAACCTATTTGTGATTTTGCGTTGTTTTTGATAGTCTGCAAGATGGCGGTAAATCAAATACACTCAAACGAGGACCAGTATTGAGAACACGATTTCAGAAGCCAAGACCTAACATAGGAAGAGCAACTGGAAGAGGCGAAATTAACACAGGGGAAAAGGCACCCAGGGAAATAAGTGTTACTGGAAAACTAGAAGCAAGTTTGCCTCAAACTGATGAAGAATTTAGTTCTCTTCCCCTCCCAGATGTAAGTTTTATGCATTTTTGTTTATTAAAAATATTCTTAGTTTTTTTTAGAGAGAGTTATTAGTAAATTCTTATTATGAACATTGCCTTACACCTAATGAAATTCGAAATCTTTGAAAGTGGTGATGGTTATATGTAGATTCTCGAAGGAGGAACATTATTTGTTAAGTACTAAATTCATTGTGAAGATCCATAATATGGTCATTAAGTACTGTGCTATAGCTGAAATAATTTTATAAATTACCTTGGATAAGTCAGTTTCTTTCCAGGTCCTAGTTTTTTCATCTGTAAGCTGAGAAAGTTGGTCTAAGACAGTGTCTGAAAGGCTCTAAACATTCAGGATTTTATCATACCTCAAGGTCATCTCTTCTGTGAATTATCATTTTATAGTATTGTAGATATAGGAGGTATAGGAAATTAGAATTAGAATGAATCTACTGATTATAGAATATTCCTGAGGATTTATTTTTAAACTGACACTAACTCACTACTGAGTTCTTTGATGTTTAAAAAACAAATTCTCTTTATTTGAGGGTTCTGGTTCTATTAGTTGAAGTTTCCGTTGTCCTTAAAACATTTTGTTAATGAATGCTTTCTAATATATCTTATCTGTTAGATGATTGGGTTTTAAGAAGGTAGCCTAAGGAATGGAAGCATGCTTAACATAAAAGTAGCTAGGAAGAATTCACAACTTCAGAATTCTTTTTTATCTGGGATAAAGATTTGGCATGACTTCTTAAAAAATATTGGTTATAGAGTGACTTAGGAACGTTTTAGACACTTGAGATCATGCTTGTGCATTAGTTGATCATTATAGATGTCATTTCCAGATTATAAGCTGTGGAGTGCCACCCCCTGTTGAAGCGTTTGAAAAAGAAGCACCTTCTCAAAAGGGAATCTCAAGTCCAGTAATTCTTCTGAAGCCTTCTTGCATGTCACCTGTAGAAGGGTGTGAAGAAGATGAAGAAACACAATCTACAACTGATCTGGAGCAAGTCTCAGATATTATCAAAAGGTATCTGAGTGGATATATTTATTTGTAAGAGAAAATAAAATTTAAATTCATAGTTGATAGTAAATTAGGTAGGATTTCCGATACTTGGAAGACAGAAACAAAATTTGAGACTACCAAAATAAAAGGGGAAACAAGAAAATATGCTGAAATTTTTATGTGATGATCTTAGATCAAATGATTCAGCAGTAAGACAATAATTTTATTAATTTAGAGTTTAGCTCAGCTCTTAGTGAAAAGAAATATCTGCACAGTTAGGGACACAAGAACAAAGAGAGGGAGGAATAAATTAAAAACATTTAATAAATACTTAACCATGTTAAGCATAAAATACCTACTGTATTCAGAGCATTGAGCTAAGCACTGTAGGAAATAAGACAAGACATTTCCTTATAGAAGAGCTTATAGTCTAGTAGGGGCATGTGACATACATACAGATGACACTGATACAAAGTATTACATGGTAAGTGTGTTAGAGGGGTACAAAAGTGCTGAGATCTCAGATGAGAAAAGTCACCATATGCCTTCTCCTTTGCTATTTACATAACCAAGTTCACTAGGTCCATTACAAATTTATGTTCTCTAACCACAACTAGATCCTCATTGCAGCAAGGCAGTCTTTTTTTTCCTTCTTAATTTAAATTCCATATATCACTTCCCACAGAAACTTCCAGAACTTCTCTTCTCTCCTCAAACCTTCCCACAGTTAAAACTAAAGAATTTTACTCTTAAATATTTACTTAGAAAATGGAGTCCATTTGCTGGTAGCAAGTTCTTCTCTTTTTCTCTTCATCTTAAAACCCCGTATTGTCATTCCTCACTCTCTTCTCTTTTCCTCCAGTTTCTGATAATAAGGTAGCCCTTCTCCTTGCCAAAATAATTCGTCTACTTGTGCCCTTGATCGCATCTGCTCCCATCTTTTTCAGCAGATTGCCCTTACTATCTTTCTCTCTTTCTTCCCCCTTCCGACCCTTCTGTCCTTCTCCCTCTTTCTTCCTCATCTACGATGTCTCTCCTGGCGTCTTCAAACTTGCCCATCACTTCCCCATCTTTCAAAAACCTTTACTAAACCCTCTTATCCCTTCAAGCTCTCGTCCTCTATCTCTCTTTCCTTTTTCAGACACACTCCTAGAAAACCTGTCTATTCCCATCTGCTTCCACTCAACCCTCAATCCTTTGTTGAAGTCTGTCTTCTGTTACTCAAATGAAACTGCTTTCTCCATAGTTATCAAGGATTTTTTCATTGCCCAATCTGGTGGTCTTTTCCCTGTCCACTTTGATTTGTATAGACTGAAAAAATTTAATAGAGTGATCTTTAAAGAATAAGGATTGTAGAACCACAGTAGTAAAATAAAAAAGGAAGCAAAGAAGCAGAAATAAGCAGCTTCCCTAGGCACAAGGATAATCTTGTAGAATTTGTTAGTTCTGGTAGAAGAAGGAGCCAGAGAGTGAGGCAAAGCTTATTAGGTGTGAGAAAAATACTCCAAGTACTTCATTAAGTAATGCAAGTTTTATTTCATTGATGAGTAGATTCTCATGATACATGGTTGTATAATTCCTAGCTTAAAACCCCAGCTTCTTGACATAGCAGTACTGTTTTGCATCTTTAAGTGTTCTCTCCATATTGTAACCTTTTGCCACAAGTATTAATAATTTGGTGCTTAAATGGCCATTTTTTTTTAACCAGAGCTCCTTTCTAACTATAGGTAGAAAAGAATTTGCTTTTAAGTTTCTATTGTAGCATTAACTACTGTCTTATGTTTAATATTTTTCTTCTCAAAAGCAAATGTTCTCAAGATGAAAAGCTCTCTGTAATTAAAAAAACACCTTTTGTGAGAAGTCGATTCAAGAGACCAAGACCAAACTTAGGAAGAGCAGTTGGAAAAAGTGGTGTTCCAGGAGCAGAAAAATGTGAATTAATGGAGAAAATGGAAACAGGAAAATTGGAGATTATGATACAACATGATCATAAACAAGATGCCATCTCCCCTCCTCAAGATGATGCCTTTCTCCTTCAAGAAAATGTTTCCACCTTTCAAGTTAATTCTTCCCCCTGTCAAGATGATTCCTTCCCACCTCAAGTCACTGCCTCTTCTCCCCAAGTTGCTGCCTCATCCCCTAAAAATGATTCTGTTCTTCCTCAAGGTGATTCCATGGCCCCTCAAGTCCGTACCTCCCCCTCTCAACTCGATACCTTCCCACATCAAGACAGTGCTTCTCCTCCTCAAGTCAATGTCTTTCCTCTTCAAGATATTTCCTCCCTTCAAGATGATGCCTCCCCCCTTCAAGGGGCAGCCTTCCCTCTTCAAGGGGAAGCTACCTCCCTTCAAGGTAATGTCTCCCCCCTTCAAGGTGAAGCCTCTGCCCTTCAAGGTGAAGCCTTCCCCCTTCAAGGTGAAGCCTTCCCACTTCAAAACAGTGCTTCTCCCCTTCAAGGTGAAGCCTCCCCCCTTCAAGGTGAAGCCTCCCCCCTTCAAGACAGTGCTTCTCCCCTTCAAGGTGATGCCTGCCCCTTTCAAGGTGATGCCTCCCCCCTTCAAGGCCATGCCTCCCCACTTCAAGTTAAAGCTTTCCCCATTCAAGATGATGCTTCCCTCCTTCAAGATAAGGCCTCCCCCCTTCAAGATGAAGGCTCCCCCCTTCAAGATAAGGCTTCCCTTCTTCAAGGCAATGCCTCCCCTCTTCAAGGCGATGCCTCCCCCCTTCAAGTTGATGCCTTCCTTCTTCAAGGTGGTGCTTCCCCGCTTCAAGATGATGCTTCCCCCCTTCAAGATGATGCCTCCTCACTTAAAGGCAATGCCTCCTCCCTTCAAGATGAGGCCTCCTCTCTTCAAGGTGATGTCTCCCCTCTTCAAGATGAAGTCTCCGCACTTAAAGGCAGAGTCTCCCTACTTCAAAGCGAAGCCTCCTGTCTTCAAGGTGATGTCTCTTCTGAAGACAGTACCTCACCCCCTCAAGTTGGTGCTTTTCCTGCTCAAGTCTATGTTTCCCCCCCTCAATTAGCTGCCTCCTCCCTTCAAGTTGTTGGCTCCCCACATCAAGATGATGCCTCTGTCCCTCAGGATGATGTCTCTCTCCCTCAAAATAATGCCTCTCCCCCTCAAATGGCTGCCGCCCCCACTAAAAAGGATGCCTCGCCTTTTCAAGTTGATGTCTCCGCCCTTCAATACAATACCTCCCCCCTTCAAGTTGCTGCCTCCTCCCTTCAAGTCAGTGCCTCCCCCACTCAAGTCGTTACCTTCTCCCCTGAAGATGATGCCCATGTCACTGCTTCCTGCCCTCAAGGTGCTGCACTTCCCATTCAGGACATCATCCACCCTTGTCAGAATGTAAGTGGTGCTATTTAATATTAAGTATTTTTTGAAACTTTTAGTCATAAGTATGGCTAATTATGACTAGCTATGGCTAGTTATACCCTTGGAATTAGTTGTTTAAAGATTTCTGTACTTGGTTTCCTATCTCCCAGTACTCTTTCAGGCACACCACGTAGCTTAAGATACAAACGCTTAGGGAATCATAATCATGGACATAGTCATGGACAAAACTGTGGAAAGAGCTTGTCATGAAATCAGCAAGCCTAGGTTCTTAACTAGCCTCTATCACTAATACTACGTTGATATGGCATTTACATCTCTCTGACTCAGTTCTTCATCTGAACATGGTAATAATAGTATCGTAAACTGTCTCCACTGGTTTGTTGGATAATGATGTGAGATGGAGGTAGTGAAAATGCTCTGAAAAGTTAAGAACTATCCCTATTTGTTACATTGTTGGTTATTTTAAACACTTAGCTTATCTTTCATGAGTTAGTGTAGAACCACATTATTTCCTGTGATATAGGGTCACATGCTTGATGTAAAGTGAAATCCACGATTCACACTGATGAGTATTTGAGCATTTTGTACAGATAACTTTTTTCAGCTAAAAATAATTTGACAGCTTGTTTTAAAGTACCTTAATGCTTTTCTATTAATAGTGTTTATGGTTGCCTTCTTGGTGTTTAAAATAATTAATTCATTAGTGCAATGTGCCTTTTAGGATGCAACTGAATGTTCTCGAAAGACAGTAGTTAAATATGAAAAACCAGTTCCAGCAAAGGGGGAAGCAGACCTGCCGTTAAGTGAACAGACTCCAAAGAAGCATTTAGATTCAGTGAGTTGTGCACCTGAAGAGATGTCTTTGTTTATAGAAGCCCAGGAAAGTGATGGTGCTGTTTCTACGGGGTAAATAGTTTTACTTTTTGTTGTTGTTTGGTAGAATGGGGGAAAGGGAATATAAGATAGACTTTAAAAATTCCATTCATTTTTATAGCTATGTAAAACATATTTGAAAACCATTTTATCTTTTGGTTTAGTTAATACCAAAAATACCAAAGTAAACATTTATAGTTAAGCAGTTTTTAATGAACATTTCATCATTACATTTTGTAAATTGAGAAATTTGTATACGTATTTTCATTAAGCTGAGTGGTAGTATGTTTCCCTTCATTGGTTATATTGTAGAGGTGATTCGTAGTTAGTAACAAATGGGATTAGATGGCCTCCGAAGTGACTTCTAGCTCTTAAGATTGCACAGTTCTCTAACACTAAGTTATAGTTAATGGATGGGAAATATGTAACCTAGTTTTTTCCTTAAAAATGAATGAAAAGGCATTTTAGTGCTTATTATATGCTAATCACTGGTTAAATTCTGGGGCTATAAACTAGAAAAACAAGATAGTACCTGCTTCCAAGGAGCTCACGTTCTGTTAGGGGGAGACACATTTTAAAAAAATTTATGTTCATTAATAATTTGTTAATAATAAGTATATTAAATTTAATCTAACAGACTTCTGATAACATATGAGGAAGTCATTTATGAATTTAAGCTGCTGTAATTTATTATAATTCAGAGGTTCACATAAGCTTTGTGTAATGATAACTTTGTTTTTTCCCCTCCATCCCCTTTACTCTTAGCATCAAGAATTCTGAGCAAAAAATTAAGAAAAATGACATCCAACCTGCACAACGAGTGAGGGGCCGATTTAAGAAGCCTAGGCCAAACATAAGCAAAGCGGAACGGAGAGGATCCAGGACAGCAGGAAAATGGATTATTGAAGGAAAAGATAAGGAAGAAGGAATAATACAGCATAAGAATGAATCTGAAAGTGAATTCTTCGCCTTTGTAAGTTAGTCTTTTGTAATTTTATTGAATTATGTCAGGAATGTTGATGGAAATGTATGAAGTGGTAATGCAGAAGTAATCCCAGGGACAAATTAGGGAATTTGCTTATAAGACAAGCATCTATAACATTTATAGTAAGCCTCTCCAAGACTCCATGGGTCTCCTGTTTTGCTGGTACTTAGCTGTATGACTAAAGCAATGCATGTCATCTAGCTCTAGTTTTTCAGTCCTACCTCCCCTCATACTGGATTAAAAATCATTTGGTCTTTCTTAATTTGAGCTAAAAAAAAAATTTGTGCTTTTAAACCTTTGTTTTCATGTCAGGGGGCTATTATATCTTTAAAGCAAATTATTGCTGGGTTAATACTTGATGCAGTCTGTGAACTGGGTATTTTTAATTAGTGTAACAAATCGATGAGAAGGCCACATGGCATAGTGGTAAGAGGCTGTTGGCTTAGTAGTCTAGAACCTTGAGTTCAAGTCCTAACTTTGTATTGCTAAATACTTAGTGCCTCAGGCAACTTTTTCAGATGATAAGTTTATAGATAAGATACCAATTTGCATTGGTAGAGGAAGTTTCTTACCAGATCTCAGATGAAATTGCAGGTCCAGTTAAAAAAAATGCATCTTGAAGTTTACATACAGATTGAAATGAATCCTTTTATTCTTTCTGTTCTATTATTTGATTGTTAGTAGGTATTTAACAAATGGTTGCTGATTGATTGTTTATGTCATAATCTTTTAAAGAAATTTAAACCAGCAGATATTATATATAACATACAAAGACTGCATAATTTTAGTCCTCGTTATTATAGTTCAGATAATTCCTAGGTATTTTCTGCTTTTTGAAAAAGGAAATCTTACATGTTTATTTTTCTTTTATTATATAACATGACCTAACTTTGTTTTTTAGTCAAATTCTAAAATTGAAAGTGATGTTGTACCTTCTGAAGTCCATAGTATGTGTGGAAGCAAGAATCAAGGGGTATCAGAACAAAACTTGCAAATTAGCAGAACTGAAATTTTAAATGAACAAATAAGGTGAGTTTGACCTGGACATCATCACAGAAAGTTTAACTTTTAAAATATGAATGGCTAATTTTTTGTAATTAATTTTGGCGTGTATAGGATGTGTTTCATATACCTGCTTTTGTATAGTCAATTTATAGAAAAACTTTTCATGATTGAGTAATTTTGTTCCAAAAATATTTGCTATAAGTAATTACTACTGGCACTAATTGCGCTCTGCTATTTTTTATTTTTAATTTTAAGCAAAGATAAACATAAGCCTCATGCTGTCAGCCCAGCACAGTTGAGAAGGAGCCGATTCCAAACAGCTAAGCCAAATTTGGGGAGGGTGTACAGAAGGAAAGAAGAACCTGGAACCGAAAAGATTGTTCCAAATACAAATGACACAAGAAAAGTAGAAGATAAGTTGTTACAGCAAGGAGATTCTGATACCCACCAGTCTCTAAAAGTGAGATTTTTTTTTTACCTGTAACGACAGATTGATTTCATATCTTTAAAAAAAGATGTAGCTATAATGTTTCAATAGATACTGAAAAATCTTAGTTTAAGACTCCTTCTTTTGTTTTGATACTTTTTAAAATTAAAAGTACCTTGTCAAATTATGTGTTCAGAAGCACCTCATACTTTAATTTACCTTTGTTCATGGCAATTATCTTAAGTGGTTTCATAATTTTTAGTATTTGCTCTTTGTAAGACTATGCCTTTTAGAAAAACCTAAGCTTTTTAAAGCCATCTCGCTCTAGGAGAGCATACCTTTTAGAGTTTTCTGCTTCTCTTCCTGGGAATTTAGGAACTTCTAGTGTTAAAAAGATTCATGAATTCATTATTCGTGTTTTTGAACAAGTTTAGAGTAAGGATGTCATGCTAAAATATAGAAACAAACCACATTGTGATACTTAAAAACATTTTTTAAATTTCATATTTAAGGATAAAACAGAGCTATTGTCATCCCTGGGGATTGCAGCAAGAAAAGAATGTGTGGATTCAAGAGACTCTGCCTTGCCCAAAGAATATAGTCACTCAGAAAAACTGCATTCCTTTGACAGACAATTGGACTATGCTGGTCACAGTGGTCCAGGAGCTACTTCCTCATCTGTAGGTGTTGAAGAGCAGTTTCTAAATAAATCAACAAGGTACAGTTTCATAACAGAATATTAAAAATAATAATAACAGTAGTAATAATAATAGCATTTATATAAGCAGGAGTGGGGAACCTGTGGCCTTGAGGCCACCCACGTGTGGCCCTCTGGGTCCTCAAGTGCGGCCCTCTGACTGAATCCAGACTTTACAGAACAAATCCTCTTAATAAAAGGATTTGTTCTGTAAAACTTGGACTCAGTCAAAAGGCTGTACCCGAAGACCTAGTGGGCCACATGTGGCCACCAGGCTGCAGTTTTCCCACCCCTAATATAGTGCTTTAATGGTTTACAAAGAACTTTATAACTATCATCTCATTTGATCTTCAGCACAACTCTTGAGGTAGGGGGCTATTATTATTCCCATTTTACAGATGAGGAAACACAGTTAAGTGACTTGTCCAGGATCACATGGTTAGTAAGTATCTGAGGCAGGATTTGAACTCGAGCCTTCCCAACTCCAGGTCCAATGCTCTATGTAGTATGCCAACCTAGTTAGTTCTAGTTTAATGTAATGTAGCTTCTCTGATTAGAAAATTAAACATACCTCCTGTCTTCTATGAGTGCCTTTTATTTGCTCCATTCATAAAGGAAAAGGGTTCCTTATTCATGTAAATTTCTTTTCTAAATTTTGATTATTCTTGTCCTTTTGCATTACGTTCTCCTTTTTCAAAAAGAGTTTTCTCCCTTATCGATGAACGAATATAAAATTCTTTATTTCTCCATTCCAGGTTAAATCCTTAGTGTAGGGTGCATCTCATACATTGATGGAACCTGACCAGGCAGGAAATGTCCCCACTGACTAAAAGTGAAACTAGGGAGAATAGGTAGTATTGGGATGAGGATGGGGGAAATGGAAAAAAAGTATCCCAGGTGCATTCTCCTGCCACATTCTAATGAGTGAAGCTGGAAGCCATTCACTCAGAATGTATCTCTGCCAGTGTTTTAGCTTCTTTTACCCTCTTCTGTTAACGGAGATTAGATTGGAATAGACCCCTTATGAATTTTTTTAAAAAGTACAGTCTTTCTGTTCTCAAGTTCCTTAAGATTAATGCCTCTTTACCTTTATTTTTCTTCTTTTTTTCAAATAATTGTCTGTTCCATTTTCCGATTGGATGGAAAGGAGAATATAGCTTAGGATTAAAGCTTTGCTATGGGTTGTCACATGTGGTTGATCAAAAATTGAATTTACTGCTAAATATGGAATAATAATAGGAAGTTCTGACCAACTGAATTATAATTCTTCCAGGAAATAACCCATTCAAATGGGTGGTGATAATTTTTTTTGTAATGACTTAAACTTATACTTTATGTTAGTGGCCTTTATTGTTAATGAAACTTCCCTAAAAAGTTGTTTATGTCTGGTGACCACAATATTTTTTCAAATGATCATTTAGATATACACAACAATCAAAAGAACCAGGTTGTCTGAAAAATCCTCTGGGTCGAAAAATAGTTACTTCCTCAGCCTCTGAATGTGACATGGATAATACTGACAGGAGAATGCAGCGAAAATCTAAACAAAATTTCACCAAAGGACGTGGATCCAAACGCGTCCGTGGCAGAATTTCCAAGAAGGAACCTAAGACCTCAAAGGCAGTGTTAGTGACACTCCGAGCTTCTCAGGAAGAGGATGAAGAAGATATAGAAGACCTTGAGTCTGAATATGAGGAAGAAAACTACCACCTTGCACCAGAAGAAGTCAACAAGGCACCAGTGTTTGTACCTGTAGGACTCCGGTCACCGGAACCTGTTTCTGCCCAAATTGAGGAAACCATGGAAGAGGTAGGCAAAGTTTTTGATTCCCTGACCTTGTGTTACTGCTTGGTTTTGTTTTGTTTTGTTTTTATGTAACATTTTCTTCTTTTGGTCATAGGATTTAAAAAACTTTAAGTTGCCTCAGGCTAATTAAATCCATATAAGTAAGAAAGAAAGTGTGCACTCTTGGGTGCACCGCTCAGCTCTGTGAGCCAAGCACAATAATAATAATAGCAATGGACTGTGAAAAGAGCGGGGAGTAGAAACAGCTGTTTATACCTGGGCATCAGAGCTCTCCAGTGTAGCTGTGTTATGTGAAATACCTACGTGGGTGATGGTCATCATTGTTTAGAGCCCCTGGGTTGGGCCGTAGCTGGGCCCACCCAGTATGATCGTATTTTTCTGGCTCCTTCAGTAAACGTGGGCCACAATGCTTTGTCTTCTTTAGCTCGCCGCAGATGTTTCAGGACCCAGGGGCTGGAGTGAGGAGTCTCTGAGCCACTGAGTTTAATGACTGTCGGCCGAAGAAAACATGGCCAGGTTTTGATGGTAGTAGTGACAATGTTATAAACTGGGGTCAGTTAGTCCCAGGGCCTGATCAGGAGTAAAGGAATAGCTCAAGAGACCAGTTTCCATTTATGTCCGTAAGAGTAACAGTGCAGCATACCTTCACTGGTCATTAGCAGAAATGATTAGTCTCAAAGGTTCCCTAGAAAGTTAAAGCACAGAAGCTTGAAAATGGCTAGAGAGTAATTAGGAAGAAGGCTGAAGCTAATTAGGAAGAAGATTAAAGTGGTTATTGATGCTAAAATAAAAGAATCTTTTTGAGTGCTGCCAAAAATTCAGAGGACACAGTAAAGCTGGCAAAGAAGATTCATACTGAGAGGTAAAAAACAAAAAACTTAGTTATATTTTGGCAAAATTAATTTTTGTGTAACACCATATGGGAATTCATCAGATACACATTCTGCACTCGGGCTTATTTTTGAGAGAACAACAACGGTAAATGAAAACTAGTTACCTGATAACAGAAAAACAAGCTTTAGGGTATGTATGCCCTGGGGACTGTGTAGAATTATTCTGATGTCCTAGGATGTGAATAGCAATTCATCATGGTGATTGTCCTTAAAGAAAGGTTTCATTTGTGTTTCGTTTGCTAGGGCATACAAATGTGTAATATATTTTAGCTAATTCATCAAAAAGGGTTGAAACAAACAAATAAAAAAACTAACCTTTAGTTATTCAGAATACCCTTTTCACCAAACATCATGTGTAACTGGTGTTACTATGCTTTGTGTTTTATAAAACGCTTAATTTTAAAAAAAAATACCTTCACTTTTTATTTCATTTTAGCTTCAAAACCGCATTGTTAAGAGAATAGCAAAGGGTTACCCCCATTTTCTAGGCGAGGATACTGAGGCACAGAGCATTTATATGACTTGTTTAGGTCTAGCACTTGATTCACTAGGCTGATACTTTTACTTTTAATTATTAGGTCACATGGTCTATAAAGACATCAGGTTAATTGGAAGAGAACATCCAAGGTAGACCCCCGAGGAATCTTGTTTCTGTTCCACATTCCTAATACAGCTGCCATCTAAAAGGTCACACACAGTTTGTAGAGAAATTGAGGAGAAAAAGTGGTTAGAGAGTAGGGCTAGAAAATTATGACAAAAGAGAATAAGGAGTAATTGTATTCAGTATGTAAAAAAATACCTCTAGTTATGTTTTTGAAAAAAAAATCTTTACATTATTTCATGTAAGTTTTTAGCATTTTTCTTTATAGTCCTCAAATTTGAACTTCTTTATGGTGATATAACTCCGTTACCTTGATATCCCACAGTTTGTTCAGCCATTCCCCACACTAGCTGTTTCCGGTTTTTCCTTGGATAATGAAATAGAACAGCAGTAAACACCTTTAAGCAGAGAAAAAAAAGAGAGAATAAAGTGTCAGGGACTTAAGTTTAGGTAAGATTATTGGTAATCCTAAGGAAAGGTTTTTATTGGCCAGTGTACTATCACTAATACTAAGTAAGGATTATAATCTTTCAGTCCTTTAATTATGAGTATGGCACATTGATTTAGGTTGGCAAACTTTTATTTTCTGTATGTGTTGCATCCCCCTACCAAACTATGAACTTTAAAAAGAAATGTTTTATTGATATTTGTTTTTTGGGTTTTGTTTTTGTTTTTATACCACATTTTTCAAAAAATATTCCCCACCTTCTACCTCTCCTTTGTAACTAATCACCCTAATTAGAGATCATATTTAACAATATATGAATCATAATGCACCCATAATCCTCTTAATCTCTGATCAGAGAAGAAAAGTGTGTTTTGTCATCTGGCCTCTGTGACCAAGATGGGTCATCCCATTCATCTGTGTTTGATATTATTTTTATTTACATTATTAAAGTCATTTTGTATAGTATTCTCATGGTTCTGCTTTCTCCATTCTTTATCAGTGAGTCCATATTTTTCTGATTCGAGTCATCATTTCTTAGAGTGCAGTAATATTCCATTATATACATATACCACAATTTATTCAGTTGATGCCCATTCAGTAGATCTATCCAGTAGTGGCATTGAAAGGGTTTGAACAGGTTAGTGACTTTTCTTGCACAATTCCAAGTTTTTTCCAGAATTGTTAGAACACTAAACAGTTTTGCCAATGGTATATTCATATGATTTTCTTCCCACAGCCCCCGTAAACCCCTTCCTGAAACCTGTTTCTGCCTTTTTTTTTTTCTTATTGAGGCAGTGGGGTTAAGTGACTTGCCCAGGGTTACACAGTAGTGAGTGTTATGTGTCTGAGGCCGAATTTGAGCTCAGGTCCTCCTGAATCCAGGGTCAGTGCTCTATCCACCGTGCCACCTAGCTGCCCTTGTTTCTGTCTTTTATCATTTTGACTAATTTAGTGGTCTGTAAGGTGCTATTTGAGAGTTTTTAAAATTTGCATTTCTTTTATTACTAGAGATTGTGATTATTTTTTTCATATGGTTGTTGGTAGTTTACATTCCTTCTTTTGAAAACTGTTCAGATCCTTTGACCATTTATCTGTTGGGCAATTGCTCTTAGTGTTATATTTGTCAATTCCTTATATATGTTGGTTATCAGACTTTTAATCAGATTTATCTGATAAAAGGTTTCTTTTTCCTGCTTTACAGTTTCTCCTTCCATTACCTTGATTTTGTTTGTACGAAAGTTTTAAACTTTATTTAATCAAAATTATCTGTTTTATCTTTTGTGATGTCTTTTGTCCCTCATTTGGTTATAAATTCTCTCACAGCTATAATTCTGAAAGGTTCTTGTTCCACTGTCCTTTAATTAATTAATTTAATTTCTTAAAATATGATCCCTTTACATTCATATCACTTACCCATTTGTAGTTTATAGTGGTATATGGTGCCCTAAGCTCTTTTATATCCTTAGATCCTTTCTATCACCCCCAGCACCTAAGCAAGTACTTGAAAAGAGTTTAAATTAAATTCTCAAGTTGAACATGAAGTTTTCAAGTTTAATATTGCTAAATTTTTATAGACTTCCAAATAATAAAATGTTTTCATTTCTATAGCTTGAAATTTCTGTGAATGTCCCAGATGTACCATGTATTGCTGTTACTGAACATCTCCTTCCTAATGTAAATGTGTCAAATGAAGGATTGAATCGGGAACAGCATTTGAATGCCTCGGTTGTAAGTATACACTTCAGTTTGTTACCTTTAAGTCATGTATAGGTACTTAAAAATAACTGGAGCAGTATTGTCATAGATAATCTACACATAAATAATAATTAATGACATGTAAAATTGAGACTAGTAGTACCAGTGAAAATTAGGTATGTTATGAGTAGGTTTCTTTGTAAACCCACTGTGGTACTCACCTGACCAGTGCTAATGCAAGTTGTATTGCTTGTATTCATCATGCTGATCTATTTTAAACGAGGCTCCCTTTCCCCAATATTTCAGTAATCCCTTAATCCTTTGTATTGAATTAACATTAATTTTAAATTATTCAGAATATATTTATTTCCAGGTCTTTTGGAAGTCACATTAATTGCTTTACTTTCTTTATTTATTCATTCATTTATTTATTTATTTGCTGAGGCAATTGGAGTTAAGTGACCTACCCAGCATCACACAGGTAGTAAGTGTCAAGTGTCTGGGGCCAGATTTGAACTGAGGTCCTCCTGACTCCAAGGCTGGAGCTCTATACACTGCGCCACCTAGCTGCCCCAACATTATTTATTAAAGACTTGGAGTTATTGGTTTTTGTATTTCTAGACTTTGTAACTTTCATTTTGTATTTATATGTGTCAACATATCTGTCCTTTCAAAAGGGACATTTTCAGACTTACTTTTATTTAAGTTGTAGCTGACAGGAAAGATGTCCTAAGAGACTTATGATGATGAAGAAGGAAAGACACAAATGATAAAGGGTGTAAAGAGGTTTTACCTGTGGCCATAGCTAGGACAAGGATACGAAGAAAGTGGAAAAATAGGAATAGTGAATAGTTTTGCTTTTTTCTACTTGTAATTTCATGAATAATGATAAACAAAAATGAAAATTAAGTTTTAGAATTATCAGAAGGCAGCTAAATGCCACATTGTACCATAAGTAAGGTGCTGAACTAATACTTAGGAAGATAATTTAGTTCACATTTTTTCCTCTTTTTTAGGAAATTACTACAATTGAATATCCTGAAAAAGAAACAGGTAACTTTTAATAGGGAAACTATTTAAGTAACCGTTGATAAACTCAGTGATTGAATGATGGTGGTAGCTGATGAAGGACTCGCTAGAGGATTGAACCAAAGGACCATATTGATGAGTAAATTCTTTTTCTTTTAGAAGATAGTCAAATGGGTAACGTACTACATACCCAGAATGTTTTTAACATGGATGAAAGGTTATTGTCATACCGGATAGTCATTTGATACTATCAAGAGATTTCTTTTCAAAGGAGTATAATGGCTTTTTTAGTGATGGATCAAACTGATCAGATAATTCAGGGTCTGATTTTGATATTTCTACTGTTTCTTTGTAAGATATTGACAGTAGTATAATAAAGAAGAGAGAGAGTATCTTCAAGTAGATTCTTAAAAAAGTAAATTTAAATAAACTTTGTTTTCTACAATGACTCTTTTATTCAAAGTTGGGTAAATTGGTTTATAGGTATCAATGATGGAAGCACAGAAGCTGCCATAGCTTTACTTACAATGGGAAATCAGATGTTGCAGTCAGAGACGAGTACTGAAGGTAAGAACAAGATATGTTTTTGGAAGAAAAAGAAAGAAAGAAAGAACTTCCTCAAAAAAACCTATTCCGCCATTTTAACAGAAGGTGAAATTGTAGTCTTTCACATATCAAAATCATTTTTACCGCTAAGACATTATCAATAGCATGCATTTTGGGTTGTTTTTCTACTAGTAATATATGGCAGTTTTTCGGTACAATATACCTCCTGTAAAATTACTAGCTAGAGGTATTGACCATCAACCATGTAATAGTAGCACTTCTTTTGAATGTGACGTCTGCCCCTACTGGAAAGAGGCTGTTTCTACACTTGACACATCTTTGCTCAGATCTTTTAGACAGCAGCAACTGTTCAGCATCTGTCACAGAAGTAAATCTGTCATAATCACCTTGGTCCAGTTCCATGCCATTCTTTTTGCCATTATTAATAATTAAGTACCCACAAGGTATGTATAACCACAATATACCTACATACTTGGATGCGCTTACTTCCCTTAGTTAATGAATTTCACAGAAGTAGAGAATACCACAGAGATCATCTAAGCTAACCTGATCTTAGAGATGTGGATCTCAGGCCCAAAGAGGTTAAGGTATTTGCACAAGATCACACAACCAGTGTTAGAGTTGGGATGAAAACCTAAATTTTTTGACTCCTGGACAATGTGCTTTTCATTGTAAGGTCTCAGGATGTTTGTTCATTTTTAAAAATGCTAATTTAAATAAAGATGCATTATTTTTTTCTTACAAATTTATTGTAATACTTCCTAGATTCATTAAGAGCGTATAAAGGCTGAGTTCTTCACAGATTCATTAAATTAACATAGCATTAGGTTAGTCTCATGCAATTATACAGTCTACCATAGTAATCACATTTGTTATTTAAATAAATATCCATCTTGAAATCCATCTAAATAGGATTTTGTTATGGGCAGCACAAAGGATTCCTTAGAAACCAGTCTCACCAAAGTATGTATTTGTTCTGCTAATACCCAGGCCATATTAGAGTAAAGCTTCATTATATAAAAATTGTTAAGGTTACATCTTTAAATAATTAATTCTTCATTATAGATCACTAATAGATCATATGGAATTTTTGCTTTATTTGTTATGAATAAATTAATTCATTTGAAAATCTCTTTGTCGCTCTCATTTCTTCTTCTGTTTTCATACAACAGGAGTAGTGCGTACGCTTCCTGAAGATGACTTAAGGAGCCATATTTCCACTTCTAACCCAGAGACCTCTGACCACAGGGTACTTCTTGAACATCAAGCACTTTCTTCACCAGTCCCTAGTACATTGCTTACAACATTGGATGAAAATAAGAGTATATTAGAGGAGCAAAACACTGGAAAAGAAATGAACATACCTGGGCAAATAAAGGAAAATTCTACATCTTTCAGGTTAATTTCATGGGTTTTTCTTTATAGATCTAGTTTCTTTTGACTGGTGGTATAAAATAAATGTAAATTACATTGTCATTTAACGACACAATTTAAATTAACTGCTTTAATATACCAGGTTATGTTGAGGCATATTTAATCATAAAATTCAAATCAGAATGAGTGTTGATAATACTAGTTTTTTAATTTTGAAAAAAAATTGTTGGTTTCTTGCTCTTAACATTTCACATTGATAATGTATCATAGTATATTTGAGCCTGTACTGAAATTTATTTAAACTTACCTAAAGTAGTTAGAATATTTTATGAACATTGAACCAAACTTTCTTCCTTACCAGTTACTCCTTGCTGGTAAGTTTGACCTTTGGAAACTGTTTTAGACTAATAAGATTAATGTGCTTATAGTGCAGTAAGATATAGGGGCATTTATGAGAGATCTGTAGTTAATGGGTGTTTTTCTTCCCCCTTTCTATAGTGATCTATCTTCTAAAAAGACAAGTTCATTGAGAACAAGAAGCAGATTTCCTAAACCTAAGCCAAACCTCAGTAAAATCCTTGGAAAAGATAGACATGTTTGTCGGAAAGTTACTAGTCTTCCTGCAACTGTGGATCAGCAGGTTGACATTCAGACTGGTGAGTGTTGTGGTTCTTTTGTAGGGGATGGAGGTGTTTTTGGCCCCACGTTTAAAGTTATGGCATATCAGCATTTGAAATAGAATATTCTATCTGGTGGGAATCTTGCTTCTCTAACTTTCTGCCCATTGGCTTTAGTTTAGCTTCAGAGCTTTCATTTACAGGCTTTCTCATATTTAAAGGCAGCATTTGTTTTTTCCTAAATCTTTTTGGGGGGCTAGCAATCCTCAGTTCCTTAATTCTTGTTTGACCTTGTTTCTAGTTTCATCCTCATCCTGGTCACATTCCCCTGGACACATGTCTTTGCTAAAATATTGTATCCAGAATACTGTAATATTCCCGATGTGATTTGACCAGTACCGAATTTCGTGGGGCTATCTCTTCTTTCTGTTAATGTAGCCTGAGATGACATTAGCTTCTCTGGCAACTACTTCAGCTTATTCACTCATAAAGTTTGCAGTTCACAGACCCCAAGATCCTTTTCATATAGTCACATCTCCCACATAGACTATTTGTTTCTTTGAATCCTAGGTATATTAAGAGAAACATAGATGGTGTCCAGAATGAGGACAATAATAGATATCTGTTGACATGGAGAATACTTTGTTCAATTCTGGGTACCACATTTAAGGCTGGACCTTAGTAAGCTAGAGCAGAAGAGGGGATCCAGAATGATGAGAGGACTGGAGAATATGCCACATGAGGGTCAGTTAAATGAACTTGGGACATTTGCCTTAGGAAAAAAGAGAACTTCAGGGGGAAGTTGGTAGCAGTATTCCCTATTCATATGTATAAAGAAAGGCTGTCATGTGGAAAAGAGCCATATATTGTATTCCTTTCAGTCTTGGTTTGTTCTCCATGTCTTTGGAGGCTCTGAACTCAGGAGCAGTAGATAGAAGTTGCATAGAAGCAACTGTAGGTTTCATTTCAAGAAACACTTAATAATTAGAGCTGTACAAAAGTAGAATGTCCTTCGTTGAAAGGTAATGAGCCCCTTTAACAAGCCGAGGTTAGATGGCCACTTGTTACCAATATCATAAAAGTTTTAAAAAATTTTACCTTTTATTGATAAATCTTTTGATTTTATATCACCTTAATTTCTAAGTATATCCTTCTCTTCACCCCTTATCAAGCAAGCCTTCCTTAACAACAATTTTAAAAGAAAAACAGAAAAAAGAAGTTTGAGCAAAACATACCAACACATCAGCTTTATCTGACGGTGTATGTGGTGTTGTACATCCTTAGTCACCCAGTTGCTCTGTAAAGTAGGGAAGGAGGTGTATTTTTTCCACTTTTGTTTAGGACCAAGTGATTATTATAATTGCGTAGCATTCGGTTTTTTCTTTTATCTTTCTATTTATATTGTTGTAGTTATGTGTATTCTTTTCTTGGTTCTTCTTGCTTCATCTTGCATCAGTTCACATAGATCTTCCTTTGAATTCTCTGAAAGGGATTCTTGGTCAGATACCATTTCAAATTGGTGGTGCCAGAAATCCCTGCTAACTTTTAAGTTCTGTGGCTTTGCATTTATCGCTATTAAATTTCATCTTATTTTCTTTAGCCTGAGAGGCAACTGGAAGGGGATCTAATCCTGAGCTTGGAATCAGGAGGAATTGAGTTCAGATCGTTCCTCAGACACTTACTAGTTTTGTGCTGTTGCCTGCTACTTGGTCTGCCTTCTACAATTCTCTGCTCACTCCAGTCCATCCTCCACTCAGTTGTCAAAGTGATCTTCCTAAAGCACTGACCATATTACTCTTCTATCCCCCTTCCCCTTCTCCTCATCCTGCCACCTCAGTAAACTCCTTTGGTTCCCTATCACCTTTAGGTTTAAGTATAAAATTACTTATAAAATAATATAAAAAATAAACAGAAAATCCTCTGGTATTCAGAGTTGGTCATAACCTGCCTTCCTCTCCTCATCTTATATCTTGCCCCTTCCGCGTTGTGCAGATTCTTATTCAAAGGCATTCCACTTCCTGATTGGCATTTTTGCTAGCAGTCCCCAATGCCTGGAATGCTCTCCTTCCCTGCCTCCTGGCTTCCTGGGCCTCCTTCGGGTCCTAACTGAATCCCATCTTTGACACGAAGTCCTTAATTCTAGTGCCTTCCTTCTGTTCATTATTTCCAGTTTATTTTATTTAAGGCTTGTTTGTATATAGTTGTTTTCATGTTGTCTCCTCCATTAGAAAATGACCTCCTTGAGGGAAGGGACTGTCTTTTGACTTTCTTTGTATCCCTAGTGGTATCTGCAAAATAGTGGGTGCTTAATAAATGTTTATTGACTGCCTCTTTAAATAGTTCCTTTATTTGTTCCTCCTCTGAATCATTTTTGTTTGTGTTGTCACCATTTTATTTTTAAATGCATCTCATCTCTTTTGAGCCATCCTCCTTTGTTGAAATAATTAGGTCATCACATCTTACCCATCCATTCTCTGAGTTCTTTGAAATTTGTTTTTCCGTCTTCATTTTTTAAGACGTCTTGGTCACTTCCTCCTGAGGTTATGGTTAATTTCTACTTTGCCAGCAATTTCCTTCTTATTGTTCAGTGTCATGTCCAAAATAGCAGTTCTGCCCTTAGCACTTTTACCTTCTAAAGGATGGGATTTTCAACAAGGCAAAGATGATTTGTGAGGAAAACCATTTAATTACAGTTTTAAGAGTGTAAATAAAAATAGATGTCTAGATATTATTTTCTTTTGATGTGTCAAGTAGTGGAGATCTTGCTGGAGTCATTTTATCTTTTAAGAGGGTAGTGTGGTCAAGAGGGCTCTGGAGGTGGAATAGTGCTAGACTTGGAATAAGTCTCTAAGCCTTAGTTTATTAACCTGTAAATGGGGACAATAGTACTTGCATGTCATAGAGTTATTGTAAAGATCATATGAATAAATGTATATTAAGTGACTTATAAACTCACTAAAAGTAATATAGACAAATGTAAAATTTTATCTTTTAAACATGGTTTTCAGTGTTGCTTACAGGGTGGCCTTCTCATGTAGTTTTTTAAAATGAAATTGTTTAAACTAGGTTGGGGTTACCAGTAAGACACTGTTTAGTAAGCAATATATCACAATATATTAATTAGATTTAGAGTTCAATAATCTGATTACCTGTTGTCATTCTTTTTCACCTTTGTGGATAATACATCAGTATTTCTTGTTTAGGAATTGTTTAAAAGAGCTACGGATTGAGTAAGTTATTTTGGTAGGAGTTTAATCAAAAATGTGGTTTTAGTGTAAGCCATCTTATCTTGCACAATTTGTTGAATGATTTGTTGTGTTTTTTAAAGAAACAGGATGTATAGCTTCCAAAGGAGCAGTATTGGAAAATATAAACCTAGAATCAAAGATTATGGCAGATGGCTTGATGCGGGCTAGCATGTTGACAGAGTTACATAGCTTCGAAGGCACCGATGATGGCAAAGAAGTCAAACAAATAGAAAGGTAAACAAAAGGAGGGAATTCCATTTATATGGTATAGGCTGCTGAAAGGTACAGGAGATAGAGCACTGAACCTAGTGAGGAAGACCTAAGTTCAAAACTAGCCTCAAACACCTACTAGCTGGGTGACTCTGGGCAAGTCACTTAGCCTCTGTCTGACTGAGTTTCCTTAACTGTAAAATGGGAATGACAATAGCACCTGCCTTCCAGCATGAGGATCAAATGCAAATTTGAAAGTACTAAATAAATGCTAGCTAGCTGTTATTAATAATATTTGTAAAATGGAATAAGTTTTCCAAGCTGCAGTATTGATGAAAATACTGTTTTTATAGCCTAAAAATAAATAATTGGGTGTTCTGTGAAAATAATCGATTATCTATTATATAGCAGAAATGTCATTGTACTGTGAGTAAAAGAACCCCAGTTGTAATTCTGGCTTTGCCACTCAGTGGCTGTCTGACCTTGGGAAAATAATTTTTCTCAACATTTTTCTCAACAGTTTAAAATATGAGAATTAAACTAGATTACTCAAGGCCTTTATGGCAATAAAATTCCGTGATTTTATACCTATTCTTCCACAAATTTTTTACTTTCAGAGAAGAAAACCAGGACAAGGAATCTCAAGAGTCTCAAGTGGTGTCTCCCTCTCCACTAGCCAAGACCATTTCAGATGACATCAGCGGTAGTCTCACTACGACTCCAACTGGAGAATTTCCTAGTCATAGTGATGATGGACAGAACTTATTAATGACTCATTTTGCCCAGGTAGAAGAATATTTAGGCTCTCCTTTAATCCTGAACTCCTTTCAAACTCTAGATTATTGTACTATGATGAAATTTTGTTAAAATATGAGCATATTTCCTCTTTTTTAGTCCTAGAAATGAAATAGCAGATGTTCAGTCAGTTCTAGTAATTTGTTTTATGTTGAAGTGCTTTGAATCTGGTAATGGCAGAATGGAGGTACCATACACTTCTGTTTTAAACACTTACATCTGAAGTTAATTTTTGGCTTTGCTAGATTGTTTGAGAGAGATTTTAGTTTGTTTAAAGGTAAGCATGGATGAGAAGGAGTTGAAAGGTAGTTGTTAAAAAGAACAAATAGACAAAGTGCTCAAATTGTCTTTCCCCCACCTTCATTCTGAACTTTACACAATCAGTTCCTGTTAAGTTGATTATTAAATGCGTGGAGATTTGCTGAAGGTTGCACAGGATTATTCATTTTATGCTTTTAAAAAAATAATAACCCTATAGCCAATTCTTTGTATTAATGGGTCCACTTAACTGAATTTGGAAATCTCTATGTAAAACACGTCTTTGTAATGATATTCATTGTAATGAGATTTTACTCAGTTTGGGTAATTGGGGTAATTACAGCCTATCGACCTTTGGAAGTGCTTAGATTATAATGTGCCAGTTGATAGAAAACATACACATTATGACATGTTCACACACATAGTAAGTTCGTATAAATTCTTGTCTCTGTCTCTGGATTTGTGCTGATTTTTTTTTCTAACTCCCTATATGTTTGGGGAGAACCTGAACCTCGTTTCTCTCATACCTTATCCATGACACAGTTCCCAGCAGTCACAGATTGATAAGGACCTCTGTGGCAGATTGATTTGTCACTTTTTCTGTCCAGTTTTACTCCCTCTTGCACCCAGAGCATTCTTTGTGTCTACTAATTGAAGTGTTTAATAATGTGACTGTTGTCAAAGGCTAATGGCCATATTCCAGAGACTGGATGAGAGTTAAGCTTCTTTGTCTGCATAACATTTTTCTCTGTCAAGTTGGTACTTGCTGTGTAGAGGAGAGAAGGTTTAGGACCACTATCTCAATTACTTCATTGGATAGAAATCATTTGGGTAGTTTAGTCAGCATACTTAGAGTAAAAATACCCCTGTTTTTACTCCTAGGTGTCTTTATGTGTATGCACATATATACACAATTAAATAAATGGAAAACATTGGCAAAACAGAAGATTTTTAAATTTTTTTTAACATTTTAAAATATTTTGGGTTCAAATAACTCCATGAATCCAAATCTAGTGGCTGTTCATTGTGTCATATTGTCCTAAAATAATTTTGCATTTTGCATTTTTATAGCAGTGTACATTGAATAATGGTACAGAAGTTGAGCAACAGAATGTAAGCATCCCAGATGACATAGCAGGTATGGCATACTATTTCTAGAAAATGATTTTTTTTGTTGTTGTTGTTAAGTTGTTTCAGTTGCGTCCAACTCTTTGTGAAACAATTTGGTGTTTGTTTTTTTTGATGAAGATAAAGGAGTGGTTTGCCATTTCCTCCTCCAGCTCATTTCACAGATGAGGAAACTGAGGCAGACAGGGTTAAGTGACTTGCGCAGGGTCACACAGATAGTAGGTGTCTGAGTTTGTATTTGAACTCAGTTCTTCCTGACTCCAGGCCCACTCTATCTGTTGTGCCACCTAGCTACCTACGTATAAAGTTATATATTACCCATATTTATACCTTGATATTTTATCTTTATTTGGGCCCATTAAAAACAAATATTTTTTCGTTCATAAGAACTATTCTTTTGTAAATGATGAAGTGAGTTTTAAATCAGGAGTCTTAAATTTCCCTCATCTTAGTGAATCATCTTTCTTTTAATATTTTCTTCCCCAATTATGTGTAAAAACAATTTTTAACATTCATTTTTAAAAAATTGAGTTCCAAATTCTTTCTCTCCCTCCCTCATTGAGAAGGCAGGCAGTTTGATATAGATTATACATGTGCAGTCATGCGAAACATTTCCATGTTAGTTATGTTGTCAAAGAAAACAGAGACAAAAAAAGCCCAAGAAAAATGAAGAAAATAAAAAAGTATGCTTCAATTTGCATTCAGACTCTATCTGTTCTTTCGTATTTTTTTGAGTGAGACAGTTGGGGTTAAGTGACTTGCCTGGGGTCACACATCTATTAAGTGTCAAGTGTCTGAGGCTGGATTTGAATTCAGGTCCTCCTAACTCCAGGGCTGGTGCTCTTTTCACTGTGCCACCTGGCTGCCCCTCTGTTTCTTCTGGGGATGGATAACATTTTTTTTACCATAAGTTCTTCAGAATTGTCTTCGATCATTGTAATTGCTAAGAATAACTGAGTCATTCACAGTTGATCATCCTACAATATTCTTATTATTGTGTACAGTGTTCTGGTTCTTCTCATTTCACTTTGCATTATTTCATGTAAGTCTTTCCAGGTTTTTCTGAGAGCATCCTGCTCATCATTTCTTATTGCACAGTAGTCTGTCATCACAATCATATACAACAGCTTATTCAGCCATTCCCTGATTGATGGACATCCCTTCAATTTCCAGTTCTTTGCCACTACAAAAAGAGCTACTATAAATATTTTCGTACATATAGCATATAGGACCTTTCCTTTTTTTTTTTTTAATCACTTTGGAATACAGACTTAGTAGTGATGTTGCTTAGTTAAAGGGTATGCATGGTTTTGTAGCCCTTTGGGCATAGTTCCAAATTGCTCTACAGAATGGTTAAATCAGTACAGAACTTCTCCAACAGTGCATTAGTGTTTCAGTTTTCCCACATCCGCTCCAGCATTTGTCATTTTCCTTTTCTGTCACATTAGCCAATCTGATATGTATGGAGTGGTAGCTCAGAGTTGGTTTTATCTGCATTCTCTAATCAGTAGTGATTGAGTATTTTTTCACATGACTATTGGTAGATTTGAGTATTTCTCTTGCTGCCTGTTCATATCCTTTGATCTATCAATTGAGGAATGGCTCTTATTTCTATAAAGTTGACTCAGTTCTCCATATATTTGAGAAGTGAGGTCTTTATTAGAGAAACTTGATGTAAATTTTTTTTCACAGTTATGATTACTGTATATTTCCCTCCATTCTATTTTCTCCATTTATCCTTCTCTCTCTTTCTCTCTCCCTCATCCCTCCTTCCTTCCTTTCATGCTATCTGTTCTCAAAAGTGTTTTGCTTCTGATTACTGTTTCCCCCAATCCACCCTCCCTTCTATCAGCCCTCCCCCCCAAACATATACACTCTCTTATCCCATTCCCCTCCAATTTTCCTGTATATAGGTTTCTTTTTTTCTTTTCTTTTCTCTTTTCTTTTCTTTTTTTGTTTTTAAGGCAATTGGGGTTAAGTGACTTGCCCAGGGTCACACAGCTAGTAAGTGTCAATTGTTTGGTCTGAGGCTGGATTTGAACTCAGGTCCTCCTGACTTCAGGGCCAGTGCTTTACAGGTTTCTATACCCACCTGAGTGTGTATGTTATTCCCTTTTGGAGCCAGTTCCAGTCATCTTTCTTTTTGAAATGCTGCCATTTGTACTTTGTGTGAACCTTTTTGCTAAGGCTAATTTGAATTACGAGAAAATTGCTAATACATCCTAGCTCAGATTTTCATTACTGACTGTTCAACTTTGATAGTGAATATGGTTGCTGATGAACATCAAGGAGAAGAGGAGCAGACATTCATTTTAACACTGGTGGAAATCCCAACAGACTCAGTAGAACAATTTGCTGGTTTGTCGGATTCATTAACTTCTGGACCTCTACTGCCAGCACCCATATTGGTCAAACCAATGAATAAAGAACAAAGGGGAGACCTGAGGTAAATTATGAGAAACTCTGTTTTCGCTGAGTTTTTTGGGAAGAAATTAACAAATATATTTTAAAAATTAAATAAGCTTAGTTGAAATTTTATTTGTAGTTATCTTAAATATTTTACTTTAGCTTTTGGATGGACAACTGAAGAGGAGATGTATTATGACCATTCTTATGTTTGTTTAAAAAAAAAAATTTGGGTGTTGATGTTTTCTTTTTTTTTTTAATAATTTTTTTTGGTTTATTTTTTGTCTAGGCAATGGGGTTAAGTGATTTGCCCAGGGTCACACAGCTAGTAAGTGTTATGTGTCTGAGGTTGGATTTGAGCTCAGGTCCTCTTGAATCCAGTGCTCTATCCACTTCGCCACCTAGCTGCCCCTAACAAGACAGACTCTTTTTTTTTTTTTTTTTTTTTTAAGGCAATTGGGGTTAAATGACTTGCCCAGGGTGTCACACAGCTAGTAAGTGTCAAGTGTTTGGTCTGAGGCCAGATATGAACTCAGGTCCTTCTGACTTCAGGGCCGGTAGTCTATCCACTGTGCCACCTACCTGCCCTAGATATCTTTTTTTCTTTTTGGCTAGGCAATGGGGTTTAGTGACTTGCCCAGGGTCACACAGCTAGTAAGTGTTATGTGTCTGAAGCTGAGTTTGAACTCAGGTCCTCCTGAAATCCAGGGCCAGTGCTCTATCCACTGCGCCACCTAGCTGTCCCTTGGGTGTTGATGTTTTCTTATACATCCCTTATTCTAATTTCTTCTGAAAAGTGTTAGATTTTCCTCTAACCTACATAGGATGTCCCAGAAGTCTTAGGGAAATTTTAACCTTGAAGCTTAGAGTTATTAAAAGCTACTTTTAAGCTACTAAAGCTTAAAACTGCACCAAGATTTTTGGGACTTTTTTATATAGTCTTTGACAAATGATATTAGAAATCAAAATGTCAGAGATGGGAGAGAATTTGGAGATATTTAAGTCAAATTTTCTTCATTTTGAAGATATTAAACATTTCAGATTTGAATCTAATACATAAGAATTCAAGTTTAGGTCATGCCTTAAATTTGAATATAATTAGAAAGTAGAATTTTGTGGTAGTCTGCATAATTTTTAATCATTTTTCATTGGAATGACACTTAGCACATTACAAAATTATAAAATCCAATTTATTTTAACTGCAGCTTGAATTTCCCAGTTTGTAACATTGTTCCACATATTTTTCTAGTTATGGGAACAGTATGCAGCCATCCTCTGAAAAGCCTCCAACTGATTTGGATCTGACATTTAATGAAACATTTGATCACAGCCTTGAAGAAAGCACTAGCCTGGTTGCTGCTACAAATCTTAATGTTTCTACTTTAGGAGAAGATTGTCAGAAAATCACCTCTGAGGTAAGAGAACCATTAAGGACCTGAGGTAACTGTATTCTGTCATTTCTTTTTCTGTTTGGATTTTGAAATCTACTAAATACATGGAGAGACAAAAGTAAACAGTAGATATTACAGCTATTAAGCACTCTCCAAACCTCATAGTACCATATGTCAGCTTTTATTATTAGATGTTCTTACATGTGGAGAAAAATAATGCAAAAGGAACCTGCTCAAAGGGAAGGTTGAAAAGCAATAATCTCTCTCTAGTAGAAGACAAATTAAGATAGTATTTGGGCTCCTCTGAAAGGTAAATTGAATAATAAAGCAGTGAATAAAGCTCATGTTTTTCCCTGCACAGTTGTATTAAGGGTTGCATCTACAGTGTTTATTGGTTTGTGTACTAGTGTGTATAATCAGAACTAATCAAGGCAATACATAAGAGAAAAAGAAAATGGTTTGGCTGTGTGGTAAGCCTGAGGGAAGGGTGGTGGATCAGTTGTGCGGTGGACTTAGGGAGGACGTGGACAGGAGTCCCATAGAATTGGCCGGTACAAATGAGTTGAGTATGCATCGCTGGGAACTCCCTTCTCATTGAGATCGCAGATCCATTTGAGTGTCTGAGTATTATTACGTGATGTTTCTTAAACTAGTGAGAGAACATTCTGAACATTCAGAGAACCAAAAAACAGTGGGGAGGAATTAATTTGAGGAGGAAATGTGAAGATACTAAATACAGATGGCTTGCTTTGCTAAATTTCAGAGTTATATGGAATGAGATAAGCCTTGAGACATACCCTTGGAGTGCCCAGACTTACATATCAATCTCCTTTTCTCATTGTGTATTCCTTCTTAGAACATGTTAGGGGAAGCAATAGAAGTAAATTTCCTTTGTTGGTTCACTTTGGATACATTTCTTTGTTTGCAAAAGATCCAAAGCAAAACTTTATGTTCTTGGGCTCCCCAGAGTATAACCAACAGAGAGGCAGCATGGTAAAGCAAGAGGGAAAGTGCTCTCCATTTAAAGTTAGAGCAAATGAGCTCGCATCTCCGCTTTGTCACTTATTTTACCTCTGTGACCATAAGCAAGTCATTTAACCTCTCTGGGCCTCAATTTCTTCATCTATAGACTGAGGAAGTTTGTCTAGATGACTTGAGGTTCCTTCTAGCTGTAAGTATGAGAATATGAGATACATCTGTAAGTCCAGATGATTATGAATTACTGTATTTTTTTTTCAAGAACACTGTATTATTCCGTGCTCTTTATTTCATATCTTTTTTTTTTTTTTTGGCTAGGCAATGGGGTTAAGTGACTTGCCCACGGTTACACAGCTAGTAAGTGTTATGTGTCTGAGGCCGGATTTGAACTCAGGTCCTCCTAACTCCAGGGCTGGTTCTCTATCCACTGCGCCACCTAGCTGCCCCTATTTCATATCTTAATGAGTTAAACCTGCAATTTCATGGAAGTTCCTAAGCTTGTATTTATTTTATCAGTAAGAAGTTTTCTTTTATGATTTATAAAATGTACTCTTTGTACATGAAAGTGGCACTATTGAACCACCACTATAGGCCAAGAGATTTGGTTAGTTTTCTAGTAGCAATGTATGTATTGTTATGTAAACAGTAACATCCATTTGTAAGATGACTGACCTGAGCTAGGGTAAATTCTTTAAATTCATGGAGCACAGTTCCAATTTGGAATTGAACCTGTAGCCTTGATTATCAGCATTATACTCTAGTCATCTGAGCTGGTTTTTTTAGAAGATATTTTGTCATCTCATTTAAATTAATGAACTAAGGAGAAAATAATACATTTCTAACTTTAATAAAATTTATTTAAAACAGGTGTCCTCAGAAGAATCCACCAGTGTGTACAGGAATGCTGCAGGTAAGGGATTTGATGTTTACATTTTACTTACCATCATGAATGACCTTAATCTAACTGGATATTTCACAAACTTGAGTTAGTCCTTTGAAAAAAGTCATGGTGATGTAGTTGTTAGCCAGCCTTAGCCATTGTGGTACAAATGAGGCCTTTGCCTGGTAATACTGTGATCAATGATTAATATTATTAATATCTTCTGACTTTCCTTCTTGGGATCTTAGCAACATTTTTCTGTTCTTTCCTTTACATTGGGATTAAGAGTGCTTCTGTTGCCTTCCACAAAGCAGTTTGCTAGTATTAACGTCTTGTGTTAGCCCCAAACCAAATAATTATCGGGCTTTTTTTTTTTTTTTTTTGCTCTGAAGCCAAATTTATGCTGAATGGTCCTGGTCCATACTCCCAATTTTAAAGGGTTTTCTTTATTCCCTGGAATCATACTGAAGATTCATGTTGCAACTCGTAAAAAGCATTTGGGCTTGACTTTCTCCTAAAGAATTTTTGGTTCCAATATCTTTACAACAATTCTTTGGGAAATCTATATCAAATTGGCATTTGATTCCTTTCCCATCCCCCTCTATATGTACCTCTTTCCTTTTCATACTTCTTTCTTTTTCTCCCTTTCCCTTTTTCCTTTCTTTTTCTAATCTTTTCCTTCTTTCTCTGTCTAATCTTGGGCTATCAGTTGTACCTGAAGTCATTGCTTAATAATGTTTGAAATATTTAGAACCAAGGAAGTTGGCATTTTTTTTAAAAATGTGAATAAAGTGGTGTGGTGAAGACTTGGATAGCTAGTGATACGTCTGATTTTCCAAGGCCTGTTTCCATTTTTGCTTGACCTTCATTCTAAAAATTCAGCTGTATTCAAATCCCAGAGCTAGAATGACTTGTCAATGATTGGAAAGTCCTAATACTATACAAATGCCAAGGCTTTTTTTTTTATTTGCCCTACGAACAAATACACACTCGTTTTTAGCTAAAATAGAAATATTACATAGTATCAGTCACCACTTTATAACCAGATCACTTGCAACATAGGTTTTCTAGTAACCTTTGTCTCTATTTTTATGGAACTTTAGTATTACTTGCCTATAAAATTTTCATTATGTTACTGGTTTATGGTACATATTCAATCAGAAATTGTCATGGGAAGGAAAGAACTTTTTAAATTATGTTAAGTTCCATTACGTAAGGATGAACCAATGTGTCTCTTTATCTTGCTTATACTTCAACTAATTTAGTTGAGAAAGATGTTGGAATCATTGGCTGAATGGAGCTTTTGATACTCTGAGAATTTCAGTGATCTATAACATTTCTACTCTTAACGACTATCAAATTGTTAAAAATTACGAAATTTGGGAATAGTCAATGTTGGAAGGGCTATGGTAAGGTAGGCTCATTCATCAGTGTACTAGTGTGGATCTATCAATTGTCACAATTATTCTGGAAAACAGTTTGGAATTGTACTGATAAAATGATGAAAATGTGACCAGGTTGTTTGACCTAGAGATTGCACTGTAAGACCTATACTTCCAAGGAGGGCAAGACAGAAGAGCTCACATTCTAGTGAGACAGACAGTGTGTAAATTACAAAGTACATACAAGATGTACTGAGAAGATTAAAATTGATCTTCTATCATTTTCTTATTGATCCTATTTATAAGTAATTTATTTTGCCCTGTAACTGCTCAAGTCATGGTTCTTTGTCTTTGAACTTAGTTCAGAACTTCAGCTAGCCTACAATGGGTTAAGTTTTAAAATCTAGTTTCTTGCCTCAAGGAATTTAGCTCACCTTGGTGACTATGTGAGAAAGCAAGGAAATTTGGGCCTGAAATTTTTGTGCCACCAAATTGTCCTTCAAGGATGTCTTGTGTGCTATCCAAAAATCTGGGCTGCTATCTTGCACCTGGATTCAAACAATGAGCACTTCTTAGTCTCATGAGAAAAGAAGTGGGGTTTTTGCTAGCCCCCATTACCAAACTTCTAACCAATCATGTTTTTCCCTGAACCTCAGCTCTGTAATCAGTCATGTTGCCCTTCATCCCATGATTTCGTCTTCTTTGCTCTGTAGTCTCTGAAAACCTATATGAAGGTAAATGTCCTTTTGCTTGGGGGTCTTTGGCATTAGTGGAGGCAATCCATTGACTTATTTATTAGCCTCTGCTAATAAATGTTATCTTGCATGGAGATTTGCCTCAGTTTACCCTTTTGTTAAGATCCAGTCATGACAGTATGCAGAGTAAATGGAAGGCAATCTTAGGGAGGATGCACAAGGATCAGGAAGTATCAGGATAAGCCTCCTGCAGAAGGTAGGATTTGAGCTGAGTCTTGAAGGAAGCTGGGGAAGCTTAAGAGGCAGAGGTGAGGAGGGAGAGGATTCTGGGTATGGGGATAGGGCCGGAAGAAAGGTGTAGTCTGGAGATGGAGAATTGTGGGCTAGATCTAGCACCTCGGCCAGTTTAGCTGAAGAGCAAAGAGTGACTAGATAGAAAAAGAAGAAGGGGCCAGATTGTGAAGGGCTTTAAATGCCTGAGGCCTTTCTACTAGATCCTAGAGGTGATAGGGAATCACTGCATTTTGTTGAGTAAAGAGGTGACATGGTTAGATGTGCCTTTTACGAAAATCACTTTGGCAGCAGAACAGAGAATGCAGCAGAGAGGGGAGAGACTTGAGGCAAGATTGTAGTAATCCTGATGAGGTCTGTACTGAGGACAAGGAGTGGGAAGAGTGGCTGAATGAGTGGAGAGGAGGGGATGGAGGCAAGAGATATTTTGAAAGTAAAAACAAGATTTAACAACAGATTGGGTAAGTGGGGTGAATGAGAGTGTGCAGTTAAGGATACTGTAACTAAGGCTTTAAGCCTGAGTGACTGGGAGGATGGTGGTACCCCTTCAACAGTAGTTAGACAGTTGGGAAGATGGCGGATGAAAAGAAAGATAAAGAGCTTTGTTTTGGATATGTTGAGTTTGAGATGCCTGTGCAACATCCATTTCGCGATGTCCCAAAGGCAGTTGGTGGTGCAGGACTGTAGCTTAGGAGAGAGACTAGGGCTGGATCTTAGAAGCATCTCCCTAGATGGGGGAATGATTAAATTAATTGTGGTACATGAACATAATAGAATATTTCTGCAGTCTGAAAAATGGTAATTGTGAATAAATGTAGAGAAACATGAGAAGACTTAGATAAACTGATACAAAGTGAGGTAAGCACAACCAGGAAAACTTCGTGCATAATGGCCACAACAGTGTAAATGAAAACAACAAAACAAAACTGAATAGTGTGTCATTATAATGACCAAAGCTTGGTTCCAAAGAACAGTGTTTCTCTAAATGTTTTTGCATATATGAGACCTTTCCCTCTGTCTTGGACCTGAGTCAGAGGGTAGGCACATCGTTTACTTTCATTGTGGTGTGATGCCTTTTTTTTTTTTTTTTTTTTGCACAGAAACTTTAACCATTTTCCATTTTAATCATTTCAGCTTATTCTGATTGAACTTTTAAAATGTTCCACAATAATTCATTGTAGCTTATAGTGAACTAGATATATGAGGATTCTTGATATCAATTGCTGATAATATTTTTAAAGCATTTCAGATCATTTCAATAAATACATTTCCTGAGTAACTTGCTTCATTGTTTGTACTGGTTTTTTTGTGTCTGCTGAAGGAGAGTCTTATGAAAAGCAGACAGTTGTCCCTGTCTTGGGAAGCACATGTACAATTGCAGAACCTCAGAAGACAGAGAAAGAGCAGTCAGAACCCGCTGTTCAGGCTTCAGGACCTGAATCTTGTGAGGAGGTGACATGTACTCAAAAAGAAGAGAATGTTCCTCATTTACCTCCAGAAGAGAGTGTGATGTCTGACAAGCAGGAAAGGAGTGGGGCTACCCATCAATTAGAACAGAGAAGCAAGTCCTTGTTTTCCAGGTATTGTGAAGAAATTTCTTAATTGTAATAACTGTTTCCTTTCTCTTTTAATTTTATCAAACAAATGTATCCTTGAAACAGATTAAATGTTACTGTGAATGATAGTTGGCAACTTTCAACTCTCTTCTTGACCTGAAATAAAGGAGTTCCAGGCATATAAACAAGATAGTCATTTTATCTTTCTTTCCAGGCCTGGCCGAAGACCCCTGGGATTTTTATCTTTGATATGTTCAAAGAATAATTTGGAATCTGAAGAAGCCACACCAATGAATAGTCAAAAGCGTTTGAAACCTATTATACCTGTCTCAAGGCATAATTTTAGAAGACCGGCTCAACTAAATGAAAGCAAGAGAAAAAAGCAAGACCCTTGTCCCTTACCACCCACCAGTGCTGAGTCTCCTTCTGAAGCCAGTACTGTTAGCAGCTCAACACCTCAGGTATGGATAGTTACTTCTATGTTTTATTGCTTCTGTGTGACATGTACTCAATTAAGAATGAACATAATGATTAACAATGATGGATCTTTTTATGTGAATATTAGCAAAGGCTACAAAATAAAACTCTGAGAAAGGAGAGGAAACGTTTTGTTTTTTTAATTAGGGAGTTAGTCTTGCAGAGATTTCTGGGTCAAAGCCACTGAGCTAACCAAAATTAGGAGCTTTAATGTGTTTTCTTTAATACTCAGAAGCAGTAAAAGAAGAAAGCGGTGTCTGACTTTGTTAATCTGAGGGAACAGAAGAGGAAAGAGTAATTATGGCCCTGTCAGCTCATGTATATTCTATTGTTTAAAACTTGCATGTGCCTTCCAACTAAATGTTTACTCAATTTCTATTACTGAAATATTTTTATAATGCAATACCATCATTCATTTTTAGAGGCACTTTCTATATATCTGAAAATGTCCTTGCCACTTTAAATGCCAGTAGCTGGCACTCTTGATTTTTCTGGGGGGCACTGTACTTGATTTAAGTATAGTATATGTAGTTTATATGTTATGCCTTTAACATGGTAGAATAATTTCATTGAATGCCTCCCCAGATTGTAATCTGTTTTGTTCTAAGTTCTTGTATATAGTCCTAAGAACTTTCATCTGCACTATGAAGAGAAGATAAAGATAGTAAATCTCAAAAATGCAGAATTCAAACAATTTGCCTTAGCCCACACAGCCTAACTAGTATATAGTCAAGAAAAAGCTCTAAGAAAATTCAGGTTTTGTAAGAAGTAAAGAGTTATTCCAAGAAAACAGTAACTTTGTGCTTTAGTGTTGTATGATATTCTTTTTTTTTTTTTTAGGCAGTTGGGGTTAAGTGATTTGCCCAGGGTCACACAGCTAGTAACTGTCTGAGGCCGGATTTGAACTCAGGTCCTCCTGACTTCAGGGCCAGTGCTCTCTCCGCTGCTCCACCTAGCTGCTCCTGATATTCTTTTTTAAAAATTTATTTTTATTGCCATATTGTCTATGTTGCCTCTGTTGCTAAATAAATTTCCCATGCCCCCAGTTAACTTTCTTTTATACTAAAGATTTTAAAAGAAAGCAATTGAAGTGGTCTGGCAAAACTTGTCAGCACGTGAACTGACAATATTCTGTAATGTAATACTTTTCAATATTTATTTTCTTACATTATTAGGTTTCCTGTGATCAATCATTTGAGGAAGAAAAGTGTAAAAGTGACCAAAAGATGGAAACTGAAGAGGAACCAACCAAAGTCACTGAATATTTCTTTAGTGATATTTTCATGGAAGTGGATGAAGCAGAGCAAAACTGAAGCTTTTTACAAAGCTGGGGATTTTAATTCTTAATTACGGCAACAAAGGCAGTGTTTAGCTAAAGGATCACTGTTGATTTTTCTTGGGTTTGTTTTGTATTTGATGAACTTGGTCTGGAAGCTTTTAAAATCACTGGAGTACATTATGGATATTTCCCTTAAATTAGTTGAGTCAAGCAGTTAAGACTGGTTTATCAAACAAATATTGACTCTTGTTTACACTTTGACCCTCCTCCTGTTCTGGCCACATGTGGACACTTTGTGGTGTCACAGATAAATGCCTTTTCAATCATAGGCCTAAAATCTTTGGAGGTTGATTGTATATAACATTTAGTGAACACTTCTTTTTGTGAAGTAATTTCTTGGTAGGGGCCTTTTAATTTGCCTCTGTAAGTGGATGGAAGCAGATTGTGAAACTTTAGAAAATGGCAAAGAAACAGCCACTTTCTATTATCAGCTATTTCTCTGACTATAAATATGTATTTTTGTAATAAAAGAATCCATATTGATGTAAGATTGATGGTTCAAATTGAAAAGTAAATATTTAACTTCAGTATTTGTACAGAGGTGAAACATCAAAGAGCTTATTTATTTATTTTTTATTTATTTATAAGAATGCTGTTTTGTTTTAGTCTTTTCACCTGACAGACTTGTGGGTAAGGTAGAAATGAATGTATATATCCAATTAGGAATCTCTTCCTTAATTTTGAAGCCATTGACCATGATTATTATAATGGATTATGTTTGATCTCTTGGGAGTTGTGAAGCAGGAAGATTTTCTTCATATCTTACTTGACTGACTTGGCTCTCAGTGGTATTTTAGATGGACTTTTTAAAAAAAAATTCAGGATAAGCACATTCTTTCCAACGTGAAAAAATCTTGCATTTTATTTCTAGCTGATTAGGCAAAATTCCTTCCACAAGTTAGTGATTGTAAATTATAAGTCTTTTTTGCTGCTTCTTTCTTCCTCCACCAGATTCTACATAAACAGTTTGACTTGTGATTTAAAAAAATTTCTAATAGATATCAATTAGACAATTGAAATGAAGTCGTAAGCTCTGTTTTCAGTGTAAATTCTTGGTCAATTATTACACTTAAGAGTTGTAATTTCAAGGTCTAGTGATTCATCTTCATAATCTAGAAATTACCTCAATTCTTCTCCCTCCCCCCTCTCCCCCCCCTGCAATTCTGATGAAACCTTCCAAAGGCTATTTCTGGTTTTGTTAGAATAGCTTGTTTTTTAGTCTTCCATTAATTATTTTGTGTTTGAACTCATGAATCTTTCCTGAAAGTAAAACTCTTCAGAATGTAAACTGAAACTGCTTTTCACATAGAAAAAAAAGAATTTCCAAATCTGCTACCACCTACAGAAATGTCCTTACTCTTTACATCTGGCTAACAGTTAATAATGAAACATGTTACTTTGCAGTAAGGAGAAAAGTTGTATGTAGAAAAATAATTATATAAAGTTCTTATGTAAGATATACATTTACTGTGAAAATTGTGTAATTGTGGGAGGGGACCAGAATGCAGAATCTGGAACTACTCCAGTCTAGAGGAGGAGTCCTAGAACCTGTAGAAAAGACATCCAAGCACCATTAAGAAATGTATATTCTTGAGTTCAGGTTGGGAGAGAGGAGGAGGGCTGGTGGGACTGATTACAAGATTCCTAACTTGACTTCCTCTTTCTCCTCTCACGCTAAAGGCAAGGCAATCAAAAACCAGTAAAACTAATCATAGGCCACATTTAGGTTTTGTATAAGCCAGATTTGGGGGGAAAATGATTTTGATTCAAATTAAATTCCCAAGAAAATTTTTCTTCTTTAGTGACTACTGCTTCATATGACCCATAAAAAATGGAAGAGTAAGCCTAAAGTCCGTAAGATAGGATCACAGTTAGAGGAGAGACCTGCAAGTCAGAGTGAAGATTCCCTCCACTCAGGCATGCATGCATAGTTTTTTCATGCAAATAAGCATCAGATACAGAAAAATCATGATAGTTATCACATTGCTTTTCTACTGTGGTATTTTTTAAAAAATCTTAAGCTAAATTTCTTTCTCTCTGAATTTGTTTTCAGGATTAGATTGTATGATGGAACAGTAGTGTAATTTACCCCTTGTAGACTTATTTTTATGAACATGAACTTTGCCTCTTACAAATTTCACTTGTGAACAGCAGCTTTTGGGGAAATGTTATGTTTTACTATGTATGCAGTGGGTTTATCTGATTGTTTTAAAGAATCAAGTCAGTTGGTTAAATGACCTTATGAGAAAAAGTGATCTCAGAGAAAGAGACATTAAAGAAAATTTAGTGCTACCATGAAAATGAAAAGATTTATTCACAAATATTTTAGACCTCAGCCAGATTCAAAGGGTTTCAATTTTATATTTTAAAAAATGTTAATTACAGAAAATAGATTAAGTGTCTTTATCATTCCTTATGGAATACAAAGACTTTTTTTTTTCCTAACTGCCACATAGGTCAGACTGTATGTCCTATCTCAAGATGCATTTCTAAAAATAGGAAGTGATTACTCTAAAGAAAAAAGTTCAGGAATGATCAGTGCAGAAACATAATTTTTTTCTGTCAACACCTACTAGTTGCATACTTCTGATTTGAGATAGAAGTGATCATCTATACTATGCTGCCTAACAGTTTATTGATAAAAAATGGAAAAAATGCTCATTTGTAAACTTTCTTGTTTCAAAGAAAGTGATGATCTTTCATAAATGTAAATTATGTGAATAATAAAGTAATTTTATACCACTCATTCTCTATCCTTTCAATCTTAATTTTAAAAAGACTAAATAGACTTGTTTATCTACAATAAACCACAAATGGAGGGCTGCTGATATTTTCACAGCTACAGTGCATGGTCATTTTCCTTCCACCATGAGAAAAGTCAGACAGGAAGAATTTTGTATTTAAAGTTAATCACAAATTGATATGGAGGAATTAAAGCCACCTTGTACAGCTTTTTTTTTTCCTGGGTTTAGATTCCATTTCTGAAGCCAGTTGTATAACTATGAGCAACTCAACCTCCCAGTTTCACTCTCCTCGTTTGTAAAATGGTGTTAAAAATACCTGTAGTGCCTCCCTTAACAGGTTGTTTGTGAGGATCAGATGAGATTATATATGTGAAGTACTTTGCAAACTTTAAAACACTACATAAAGTCAATTTTCTTTTGAAAGCATGAGGTATATATTCCTTATTTTCTTTTGGGCTGTTTTCTGCTTATTTTGAAGAAAAATGGATGTGAAGTTTCAAATATAAAATGTAACTCCTCATTAGGGGCAGGCTTAGTGCCAATACCCTATTCAAGCTGGATGTTCAGATGAAATGAGGCACTCACATCATTGTACAGGTAAAAGAAAGTTTACTTTGTTCTATGACAACAAGGATAGAGTGACTTAGCTTCTCTGTATTGGAAACATGAATGGTCAACAGCAGAGTATGGTGACTCAGCGGTCTTCAAAAATCCACCAAATCAAAGGGCCCCCAACTCCACATGATGGGGACTTTTCATGGCCTTCAGTGGCTAGGAGGCTGTCAAAGGAGGCAAGCATCAATCAAGTTCCAGGGACAATTGTGTTGTCTTTTAGGGAACACTAATTCCAGTTACAAAGAAGTGGGGTCCTATCATAACCCTTCCAGACACAAGAACCCAATTATAATTTTGGATGTGTCTCTTAAATCTCTCCTCGTGCACTCACCCAGAGAAATGCTGGGAACTTAGGCATGTGGTTCGTTTTGTTCTCCAAGATGTTTCCAGAGCAATTCAGGCTAACCATGGCATTAAACATAGTAGATGTTTTATTTGTACAAAGCACAGAAAAGACTTGTGCCTGTGTCCTTAGACAGTGAAGAAAAACTTCCTGCTTATGGTGGCAATAGAAAGGACTTAGAGCATGCAGACAACTGGCAGAATTCTCCCACTTCTCTCAAGGGCCTGTACAATCCTATTGCATCATAGAATGGCCTTATGGTATGGGATCAATAGAATGTGTCTGCTCTCCACAGTACGAACAAAATGTAAAGTACATTTTTTTTTCCTTTACATCATCTGTGTGTTATTCTTCAATTCTAGATCCTCCTAGGGGCCTTGGTTCTGTGGTTCCCTGCCATTCTGATCATTTCCTCCCTTTTTGGCACTCAGTCGTGATTCTGCTAGTTCAGCATTCTTGTCTGGTCCTAGCTTCTCCTCTCTGGGGCCAGGCTTCATTCAGCACAGGTTTTTCCAGGTCCATGTATGGCTCAAGTGTCCCATGTGGTGCCAGTTCCTCCTCTCTAGGGGCACAGGCATCTCTCAGATCAACAAGCTGCCTTTTGGTCTACACTGTCAAACACTGTTTCTCTCATGACCCATGTGATCTCTTCTATACAGAAACTTTAGCATGCATCCCATGAGTCTTCCACAGTTGAAGTATCAGGGGCTTACCTGACTAGTTGGCATATATCAGCTACAAAAATAAAGGCAGCTTTTGTATGAATTTGAGTTCGAATAAATTTATAAAAAGTAATCCCTCTACAGTAAAACATTTTCCATCTGTGCTTCTGGTAAAGGTGGTCACCATCACAAATTGTGGTATGATTTGAATGGAAATACAGTAATGGTCCGTTGAACAATTTTTACTTTTTTTTTTTGCCAAGTTTTATAATATAACCTTTCTTTAGCAGAACAGATGTTTTAGGGAAGTAGGAAAATAGAAAGAAACCTTTTGGCAAGTTGATTAAGGGTACATACTGAATTTTAAGTTGACTAACATTGTGCAGACATTTTCAAGGAATTGACAATATAGATGTTTTCTGCTTTCTAGCTGTAAAAATATATTGGGCAAAGAAAACAAAATGACACCAAATCTGAGATCCCTTGACCCCGGAGAAGACAAGTTGCAAACAGTAACTGAACACCAGAGAGAAAAAAGGGCAGAAGTGGCAAGAGTTTTGTAGACCTCACAAATCATTAATGAGTGTCACTAAAAATAATAGCACTTAGGGAGTGCTTTAAGATTTGCAAAGCAAACACATATCTCATTTTTATCCTCACAACCCTGGGAAGTAGGTGTTATTTTCATCCTCATATAGATGAGGAAATTGAGGTAAACGGAAGTTAAGTGATTTATTTGCGCATGATCACACAGCTAGTAAGTTCCTGAGGCAGGATTGGAACTCAAGATTTCCCAACTCCAGGTCCAGCACTCTGTGCACTTGCTGCTCCAACAGCTAATTAGAAACTATGAATGTACAAAAATGTAAGTGAAGGTCACCATTCAGAAGGTGAAAAGGCTGGTGGAACCACTCTCTGTTCTAGCTTGTCAAGGATAATAATGTGTTTGTTGAGAAAGTGGAACTGATTCTTAAAAGGAAGACTTCTATATTGAAGAGCTGATTGTAGACCATCTCTCATGAGCACCATGCTCTTTTCCGTTCCACATATCAATTTTTCTCCTCTTTTGCTCTAGGTTTTAACAAAGAGGAGGTCCTCCCTGCCAAGGTTAATCCTTCCATTTGTGCTCTTATCACCTCCCTCCACTTCTCATCGATCTCTCCTTTTCTACTGGTTTCTTCCCTGCAAGCTTACCATCAGGTCAGATCTCATATCACCACTGTCATTCTTCTTCTCCCCACCCTCTCACACACATTCAATCTTCAGAGGTTCCCCATTGCCTTCTAAGATAAGATACAGACTCTTCAGCCTGACATTCAAAACCCTCTACAATCTGGCTCTTCTCTATCTTTTCATTCTAAGTTTTATATGTTTCTAATACCCTTTGGGCAAATCAGGAGTATCTGCCAGATGCTCCCTATCCATGACATTCTATCTTCTACCTTTGTGCCTTCACACAAGTGCTTCCGCAGGTCAAGAATGCACTCTGTTAGAACTGGCGAGCTCTGAATGTAGATTGAAAGCAGACTTTTTTACTTTTTCTTTTTTTGTCTGTTTTCTTTTTCAATATTTACAGATACAGAAATATGTTTTGTTTGACTTCATGCTATAATCTATATCAAATTTCTTGCCTTCTCAAGGAAGGGAGAGGGAGAGAATTTGGAAGTCAAAAATTTTTTTAAATGAATATTTAAAGATATTTTTTAACATGTAGTTGAGAAATATTTAATGAAATAAAATGTGTTGGGGAAAAAAACCGTATTCCATTTCTTATATGAAGCCTTTCCTTGGATATCGCCAGTTATTAGGACTCTCATCCTCTTGAAATCATGTTGTATTACTTGGTGTATTATTTGGATTTACTTGTGCACAAATTGTACTCCCCCCAGTATAATTGTAAACTACTTGAGGGAAGGTCTACTGTTTAGTTTTTCTATACATAGTACTTAGCACAGTGCATTGCACAGAGTATATACAATAAATATTGAATTGAATCTTTGATTTCATCAACGTGGGTCCTGCCTCCAAGAATACAGATCATAACCAGATGACAGCCAATTTGTTCTTGCCCATCCTGTGTGACTGTGTTCTTCCACAAATTCTTTGAATTAAGTATACCCAACCTTCTGGGGTCCTTTCTCTTGTTCTCTTGACTTTGCAGGCTATGAATGGAGCACCTGGGTTATCCATAGGTTACTCCGACCTCACCACATGACACCTGACTTTTTGTCCATTTTTTATATCCCTCTGATGATATCTGTCTTTATCAGGATGATAACAGCATATGGAAATACGTTGTGCATAACTTCACATGTATAATGGATCATATTGCTTGCCTTCTTGATGGGTGAGGGAGGGGTTAGAGGGAGGGAAAGAATTTGAAACGCAATATAAAAAAAAGGAATGCTAAAAATAAATAAAGAGAGAATAAGAGAAGAAAAACTGGAAGCAAAGGAAAATCCAAACATTATCCACTACAGAATGATTAGAACAGAATGCAGCACCTTAAAACCACTGCTGTAATATACTGGAAGGCTGTGGTAAGCAAGTTTCACAGTACTGCTAATTAGCCATTTTATATTTCATGTTAATGGACACTAATCACTTGTCTGCTGGTAAAATGGTTCAGGCTTGGTAGCTTTCCTCTTAGTCGGTGATCTCTGTAATGCAGACGCTTACCGTACAGTCACCCTTTTCAGCTCTGGGGACAGAGCAGCAGCTACCTTGCAAGCATCGTAGGACATTCAGACTTTTCAGAACTTACAAAGTCACCACCAGTTCTGGACACAGGAGATACTTGTTTGTCAAATATTTTGCGCACTTCTAGCAATTTTAAGGTGATGAGGTGATACTAAGCTCTCATTCAGCCGTCTTGTTAGAATTCCTCTGCCTGTCCTTTTCATCGAAGAATTTCACTACTTATTTTTCTTTCAGAAATTTTGGCCAGTGTTCCTAAAATGCTATAATTATGGATACCACAATAGTTTCCACTTTGTCTGGTTGAAATTTGGTTTAGTTTTTGGCTATTTAAAATGTTATTTCATTCAATTCCACATTTCACATATTACAAAGTATGATCTGGAGCTCATCACACTAATGAGTTGGGTCTCCAGATCATGGCTATTATATCCCCTCAGAACTCTATCTTATATAAACTTATTTATTAGATTTTCCTTGAGCTTTGTTTATATTAGGAGAAGAGGCACTGATGTGCTTTTTAGGAGAATTACAGGTGCCCTGAGCAAGAGAGATGGTATCTGGTAGTGGCTAGTATATTGGACCTGGAGGTATGAAAGTGTAGTTTAAATCCTACCTCTTACCTTTACTAGCTATGTGAACATGGGCAATTCACTTAACCTCAATGAC